CTCATTTGTTCATATTCTGCTCCATTACAACCGACAGAATTCCAGGTGACAAGACCAGCCCAAACTGGGATTTTATGGGACGGATCTGGTGCGGTGTATTGTTAAAAATAATAGTTCCAGACATGGACATTAAATAAACAAAAAAACCCCTACAAAACACAGAAAGGATCAGAAGGAGAAAAGTCAGTTGAACGTGGATGGGAGTGGTTTGGGTTCCAAAAGGATGGAGAGCACTTCAGAACCAAGCTGTGGCTCAGGCTAAAGACGCCGAACAGCCTCCCCTCGTACAGACTTTGGATGGAAGGAGTTTTCATTTTCACTTTTGAACTGGCATAAACGGAGAAGGGATCTCATCAGAATAGGGGTGGGGGGGAAGAAAAAGAAAAACCCAAGACAAGTGGGTTATCCTTTAGGAGTCGAAAGCCCTGGATCAACGGGAGCTTTGCTTTACCTGCTGCATGTTCGTGTCCGAGGGTCGGCTCTCGAGCTCTTCCTGAAGCCGTTGACTCCTCCTCTCCGCCTGGAGTAGCTGGTGTTGGAGCTGCAGGAACTGTTCCTTGGGCACCACGGCACAGCCTTGCTGCTGGAGCTCCCAGGAATGCGGGCTCTGGCTACGCATCCCGCTGGAGCTGGAGTGGAGCATCTGGAGAAGAGGGGGGAAAAAAAACCCCAACCATAAATCACCCACGGGCACGGCCGGACCGTCCAGCCACGCTCCAGACATCAGGCTGCTCCTCAGATTTCTTGTGTGCAACAGAAACAAGCCTGAACTCAGCAAGAGAAGCTCCACAGGCAACTTTTTCCAAGGGGAAAAAAAAAGATGCGGCTACATGCAGTTCTAAGGGAATTTGAGCTTTGATCCACCATTTCAGACCTGAACGATAAATCCACCGAATTTCTGGTGAAACCCGTCAAAGTTTAGTTTAGGTGAGCTTTAACTTAGTCCTTCTTAATTTTCAGTTTTTATTTTAACCTCCATCTCAGCAGCTCTTCTAAAAATAGCACCTGTTTACAAATAAAAGCGCTGAAGTTGTGCTGGTTATTTCTAGTCTTAAATTTAGGATGGAGAGAGAATATTCTCCAAGCACAACAAATTTTCAGGGCCATTTATGATGACTTCAGCAATTTTATTCCATTAAATTCAAAATTCAATATTTAAACCCCTATGGATCTTTCCATATGTTCACTACTAACTGTAGAAGTATTGAGAGCTAAGGAAATAATCATAATTTTCCACAGGAAATAATTTAGATTTTTTTTTTTTTAGACTAAAGTAAAACCCGGGTAAGTAACTCACAGTTGTAAGAGTTTATAATACTAAAGAATTCCAGACCTGCACAGTAAAAATACCTGATGTTTCAGCTTGAATTTGTATAACATCAATAATTTCTTCCCCAGCTGACAAATTCTCACTTGTTGTCCCAAAACTATTACTCTGTTCCCTTAGGAAAAGGTGTGTAAGATTATCTTAGTAGTTTTAATTTCCCTTTCACAAGTGGTTTTAATTTCCTTTCACTCATGGTAAAATTAAGCCTCAATTTGAAGTCATATTTCAATGGTTGAGTTCATCTATAACTATATTTTACAATAGTGCAGCTCTTCTGTTACCATCTCTAGATCTCTGCTGGCCCAGGTAAACAGAAAATAGGTTTACAGGTACTTTAAAATAAAACTATTTGTATTTTTAAGTTATCTGGGGGGGGTGGTTCTCTTGAATCAACTTGTCTGGAAAGGAGCTGTTCTTATCCTGACAATAGAAACGGTGAAAATAATGAGCTTTTTGTGGAATTTCTTTAGGGGTTCCTGTCCTGCTGTGAAGCACACGAGTATCTAATGAAGAAACAGTCAATCAGTGTTAACAGCATCTTAAAAAACAAATACCAGCGAGACAATAATGAAAACAATATAGCCCTGCTGTGTTTATCTGTGGGGGGAAAAAAAAAAAAAAAAATGGAGCAATAATGAACTTGCTAAACTATTGGGATGGTGCCAAGTGGGATCACAGAGCAGTTAATTTAGGGATACACTGGACAGTCTGGTGGAAAAGCATGCAAGTACCAGAGGGTAAGTATGCAAACACCTTCAAACCTCACAGTCAATGGGTTAGTAGGCAGCCACTTTTCATTTTTTTCCACTTTCAAGTTTAACTGTTTTTTTTACTTCAGTCGGGTTATTTCTCTCCATTTTTCAGGCGGTGCCTTAGGAATTTTCAGCTTCTGGGGGCACAGAATCAAATTGCACGGACAGTCCAAGTGAAAAATCGACACTGAAATGAATAGTGGCTCCTTTACTTAAAAAGATGCACGGGATAAAAGGAAAAACCCATTAAAAAGAAAAAAAAACAACAATGTTTTCTCCATGCTATGGCAGTACATCAAAAATCGTTGCTCTACCTTCGCACACTATCTCAGAAAGAGAACTGCACCCTTCTCTGCTACTTCCAACCACTGAGTTCTAGCCAGGTTAGCCATGAACAAAAGGAGAACAGGCACAAAAAGAGAGAGTTAGAAGGCACAAAATGTTACATACACACCTGCCTGGAAAACATTAAGAGGAGGAACAAAAATCCCACGTGCTTGAAATACACATTTTAGCAGAAAACTCAATTCCCTGCTTGGTGCTTATACTGAAGGGTTTAACAGTGCTTGGCGTTTTCCCAAAGCTTAATTAAGACTATATAAATAAAAGCACAGGGAGTATAAACAGTCTTTTCATTAACTTGTCAAAATCTTGTACTTACTAATCAAGTTTTCACAGTTTTATAACCAATTACATCGTATATTCAGCATAATGTTTCCTATTTGCTGCCTTGATGAAAAACATGAAGCCTTTTTAATAAAGTGTCGTAAAAGCCTCATCTGGAAGATGCTCTGATTTACAGCAAAAGCCAAAATTGTGGTTTTCTTTTTTTTTTTTTTTAATGTTATGCTATAAACTCAAAGCCAGGACACCAACTGAGAGACAACTCAGAGGTCTGGGCTGACCTTAAGGCTCACACTAAACACAGTTAAGCTCTGCCCAGTCCAAGGACTCCTCAGAGTTATACAGTTTTAATATCCAGCATAATTTGCAGCCTTTGGAAGAATCTCAACTGAAAATTTCAAGGCATGAGTGGAAACAACAGTAAAATGTATAAATTGTTGGTTTATCACGATAACATAACAAGGCTTAAATTCAGCAAATCACTCCCACAGTAAATAAGAACAGGTTTCTACACTAAGAGCAGCATCACACAAACATTAGTCAGGAAATCTGAGGTGACACGTTTTAGGAAGGAAGAGGGAAGTGTTTGCCTGGCCTCAAAAGCACAGAAACAAGTTTCTTTGCTATTTGCTTTTACACCTGAAGCCTTATGTGAATTATGATAAGCCACAACGTTTGTCACACTCACATCTTGGTCACGAAAGATAAAATTAAATATTAGGAGAGATTAGTTCTTCCAGTTTCAATCTGTTTTCTCTGTTCCTACACATCTGGAAGCTGTTTTGCAACAAATCCACAGGCAGAGTGAGACAGGGATAAAGCCCCACAGTCAACACTGATTGAGAAGTACCTCCATTAACTGATCATCCAGCTTGACTTGCTTTTTCCTTAGCCCTTCATTTTCTGAGCTGGTTTCCAGTTCACGTTCCAGAGAATTCATCTGACTGATCTACCAGAGACAAGAGAAGTTTCCTTAGAGAAATAGCAGTTGGTTATTTTATCTGGGTTTTTTTTTTAATTTTTTCTCCCCAATACTCAAGTCATGAACCATTAAAGACAACTCAAGACTACAAAAACAGGAGTACTTGGACAAATGCCATGCTTTTCCACAAGTGAATGTCACCCTGCAGATGCACAGGGCACAGTCAGTTCCTTGGGACAGGGCTTTGTTTTTTTTTTATAAGAGACAAAAAAAGCACAAAACTGGGAGGAAAAGAACGAAGTTACAGCTTGTCACTTCGCCACCCAAAACTAACCTTCCTGTTTGCAGATGACAACTCCTTCTGCAGCTGCTCACACTCTCTCTTCAGGCTCAGTTTCTCCTGCTCTATGGCTTTGACGATGCCTGACTGGCTTTGATGCTTTTGGTGCTTTAGGGAAAGGATTGTAGATTCCAGCTGTCGGATCTAAAGAGAAGAGCAAATGGGGAAAGATGTTCCAGGTGATCCAAAAAAAAAAAAAAATCTATTTGCATCTATTTCACCTACAGTACTGAGCAGCAATTGACTTTGGATTCAGAGTCCCAGAATGATTGGGTTGGAAGGGACCTTAAAGCCCAGCTCATTCCAACCCTCTGGCATGGGCAGGGACACCTTCCACTAGCCCAGGTTGCTCCAACCTGGCCTTGGACACTCCCAGGGATCCAGGGGCAGCCACAGCTTCTCTGGGCAAATCTGGGGTATTTTTGATACTTTAGCTTTGGGCATCTTGTCCTCCTTTCCCTTTCTCTTTCTTTCCCTCCCTTCCTCCTCCTCCTAATCTGCCTATTACTGCGAGCCAAGAAATTGCACAGGAAGAATGCTGGCAATATTAAGAATCTTTTTTTTTTAAAGAAAAAAATGAAAGGGTTTTAACTGGAAGTGGGACCAGAGAATTAACGGGAGAAGAATTAACGGGATTTTCTTTTAAAGAAGAGAAATATCCAAAGGGTGCTGTGGAGTCTCCACCTCTGGAGATATTCAAAACCTGCCTGGATGTGATCCTGTGCAACCTGCTCTGGGTTACTCGAACAGAGGGTTGGACTGGATGACCTCCAGAGCTTCCTCCCAGCCCCAGCCCTCCTGTGATCTGCCCCCTTGCTCCGGTTACCTTCTCCCTGGAGTGAGCCAGGTCTGTTTTAGTGCTCTGCACTTCCCTCTGCAGCCTCTCATTCTCCTGCCGGAGCAGGCTCTGCTCCCGATGATCCGTCAGCTGCTCCACTCCATCCCAGTGCATTGGCCCCTGCTGGTCCTGCAGCCCTGGGGAAGGCACAGCCCCTTCCAGAACCCGATTCTTAAGACAGACAGAATTGCAGGGTTAGGCCTTAAACAAAGAAGCAGATATTTCCTCTATTCAGGTGGGTTTTACGTGGACTTTTGGTACCTGCAGACTCTAAAGTCGCAGGATTCCCGTTTTCCTCCCAGCCTACACACTATTTTCCCTCCTAAGAAACCCAACGTGCAAAGCCCAAGTGCTTCCCTCCACTAAAATCATGGATAATAACTGAGTGCAGAACAAGTGCACAGAGTACACCACAAAAAAAAAAAAAAAAAAGGCAATTTGTGCTCTGTTTAGAGCAAAATAGGACTCAGTATTATATATTAGTCAGTAATAGCTGTAATTTAGTTCCTGTTGTACCATTCTGAAACAGCCTCTTTTCCATGTGGACATTAAATATTCCTTAATTACAGGGCAAACAAGCCAAATTACTAACTGAACCCATAATACCAATCCCGAGACTGCTGTCTACAACCTCCTCCAGTTACAAATCCTCATTAGTTCAGAGAGGCTGGCATAATTCTCTACCTTTCAAAACTAAGTTGGACTGGAAGTTAGATCCTCAGTCGATTAGTTAGTTAATTTTTATAGTTGATAGGTGCAAACCCATGCATTACCCACAGAATTGGGTTTTTGGTTTTGGCAAAAGGTTTCTTTCAGGGAAGGATGAAAACTCAGATGGATTGACCTTTACATTCGACGCTTAAAATAATAAAGTTTTCTAAAAGTCAGATTAAAATCTGCACATTATATACAATATACAACAATTAAAGCTATCTTTTGAGGCCCCTGAAGCCCTTTACCTTTTCACTGGTGCTCTGCAGTTGCTTGTGCAGTGACACCACCTCCTGTTTCAGAGTTTCCTTCTCCTGCTGCGTCACCCGTAAGTCGGATTTCAGTCGGGACACTTGGAGGTTGGTGCTCTGCAGTGTTTCATCAAGGCTCTGAACCTGTAAAAAGCAGGAATCAGCTTTGCTGGACCAAGATTTCATGTTTGTGGACCAGGTGCCACGTGTGTTTAGGATCTCTGATGGAAGGAGTGAAGGTACAATGCTGACAACCCCCCCTGAAAATGGTAAATTGAGTTTCTCTCTTCAACTCCCTGACAGGAGGGGGGAGCCAGGTGGGGGTCAGGCTCTGTTCCCAGGGAACAAGTGGACAAGAGGAAAATGGCCTCAAGCTGCACCAGGGGAGGTTTAGAGTGGATATTATAGAAAATGTCTTCATGGAAAGGGGTTGTCCAGCCCTGGCACAGCTGCCCAGGGCAGAGGTGGAGTCCCCATCCCTGGAGGGATTTAAAAGCCCTGTGGATGTGGCACTTGAAGATGTGGGTCAGTGGTGGCCCAGGTAGTGCTGGGGAATAGTTGGACTTGATCTTAGAGGGCTTTTCCAACCTTACAACTCTATAATTCCAAATGATTTTCCAACTTCCTGTTCCAAGTTAGCAGCCATCCACCTTGAATACAGACACAAGGCTGCATTTAACAGAGACACCTTCCAGCCCTGAACATTTGCTGGGACGTGCTGGAAGAGAAGATTTCCCTTGAATTATTTATTCCTCCTGGCAGCCCATGGCCAAGGAGAGTGCTCAGCCAAGCAGCCAGATGCTCACACCCCTCTCCTGCACCAGGAGAGCAGGAGCAAAGTTTCTGCAGTATTTCAGGGACAACCAGGCAGAGTGAATTGGCAAAAGTAACTTGGCTGTGGGTGCAAAACAGCATCACTTTTTTTGGGGGGGGAGGAAAAAGTCCCTTGTTCTATTTAGAAGTTTCCTCTTGTCCTTCAAGAACATCACTCTGAAAGCCCATCAAAGCAGCCACTCTCAGCTGCACCACATCTTTGCACACATCAGAAGGGGGTTTTAGGGAAAGGAAGCACTACGAGAGATGCTTTTTATCTAGGGTTATAACAAATAAACAAACAAACAAACAAATCACTATTTTGTACCTTTTCTTGTGAGATGGTGAGCTGTGCTTTCAGTGCCTGACTCTGCTGTTCCCAGGATTTCTGCTCCTGCTTCAAGCTGCTAATTACACTCTCCAAGCAGCTGACTTGAGCTACCTGCAATGAGATTACGCAGGGAAGCCTCACTCAGGATTTTCTCTAACTCAGTTTGACTTTGAGGGTTAACCCAGAGGGAGTTACAGCCACACAAAGAAAGCAGAAAAAAAAACCCTCTCAGCTCCCTCAGCCTGAATTTCCACACAACGGGATCATTATTTATACTGTGCACATGAGTTACTCTGCCCAAGTTCAGAGTTACAGCATGTTAAAGCTGCAATAAAAGTCCAAGAACACTGTCTTCCTTGTCCTGCTGCAGTATTTATACCCAGGCCTCTCTTTACTGCAACGTTTGGAATTTTCTACATAATCAAATTACAGTAAAGCTGTGCTCCAGAATTTAAGATTTCCTCTCTCAGACCAGCTAGGAAAAAAAAGAAAAATCAGGCAGTGGTAATTCAGCCTTTATCTGGCTTGAGGGTAAGGAAAAAAAAAGATCCAAAGTAGTTTTACAGGTTGTGGTGATATAGATAATGATACAAGAATTTTAAGTGATGTGGATTTGCAGTTCTTTCTTACCTTATCAATACATCTGTTCAGTTCCTCGCTCAGGGCTTCTTTCTCCTTCTGCAGCTTTTCATTTTTCGTAATTAAGCTCGAAACTTCGTTTTGGAGGTCAGAGAGATCAGGGCATCTGGGCAGCTGTGGAAAGCAAACCCCTCACAGTTGTGTTTCTGTGCTGTTGCAGAAGTTGGCAAGCAAGTCGTGGGATCATGGAATGGTTTGGGTTGGAAGGGATCTTTAAAGGTTCATCCTCAACTAGGTCAGGTTGCTCCAAGCCCCGTCCAACCTGGGCCTTGGACACTTCCAGGGATCCAGGGGCAGCCACAGCTTCTCTGGGCAACCTGTGCCAGGGCCTCCCCACCCTCCCAGGGAGGAATTTCTCCCTAATATTTAATCTAAATAGATGTGTGAAAATACATGGAGGGAAAACCACTGTACTGCTGACTTCTGATCCTTTCCCCAACCGAGCACTCTGCCTTCTCCCAGGCTCTCCTGCCTTTCCTCACTCCATCTCCTGCCTGTAATTACATCCAGCCACAATTCACTCATTACTGAACAGGCCTCAGCTGCTTTTGCTTTTTGAAGACCATTATCAACCCTGAGCATTGGGTGTCTCAAATGAGTGGTTTGCACAGAAAATGACTTTGTGGAGCCCTGATCAGGGAGGTGACTCATTTGTAGCCTTCATTATCTGTGTTTATTAGCATATATTTACAGCCAGTTGAACTGTGTTTATACAGGAGATAACTGAGCCCTCCAGGAAATCATCTCCACCCGTATCTCCAGATGGATTTAGCAATAGGAATTCTCTCTGAGAGGACATGCTGGAAGAGCTCAGCCCTTAAATGGAGCTATATGGGTATCACCAATTACACAGAGAAATGTTCTCCTGTGGATCCCATTTGCCCTGTCTATTCCTTGATTAGAGCTTTAAATCTCTGTGCTTACCAAAGCTTCTCCCTGTAGATCCACAACTGCCAAAAGATTTTTGGCAAAGTCTAAGTGAGCCCAACCTCACTTGAAACAGAGACTGTTTCAAGAGGAGTTACATTCCCTTATTTTTATGACCTTTCTTTAAAGAAGTTAAAGAAATTAAACTTTTCTCAACCCAGAATACATTAAAAGATGGTGAGAATTATGTGATAGCACTCAAATGGAATCACAAAATGGTTTGGGTTGGAAGGGATCTTAAAGATCACTTCATTCCACCCCCTGCCATGGGCAGGGACACCTTCCACTAGCCCAGGTTGCTCCAACCTGTCCAGCACTACCAGGGATGGGGCAGCCACAGTTTCTCCGAGCAATAGGATGCCATACCTGTTTTGTCTTCTCCAGCTCCTGCTTGAGGATGTGGTTCTCCTGCTCCATCAGATGAGCTTGAACCTTCATCTTTGACACCTCCACCTCCAGGGACGACACCAGATTTGAGGACTGCAAAAAGCAAAGGGCTCAGATTTCAGTTCAGGAGACTCACAGGGTACCAAAGGTTAAGCAGAGGATGCTGCAGCCAGTGAGAGTGGTTAGAGCTGGGATGGCACTGGATGAACACAACAGCCACGCTGGGAAGTGCAGGGAAATACCTGGCATCGTTTTCAAGGTCAACCTGCACGTTTTTACCTCCTGGCTTTTGGCTGCTGCCAGGCCTTCCTTCCTGCCCCACGCAGGAATGTTTAAGCCAGAACTTAGCAAAGCTCAGCTCTGAAACCCCCCACACATCCCAAGACAGGGATGCCCATTCCATAGCACCTGGAAGTCCAATTGTCCCGGTATAATCCTGTACCTTTCTTTTGGAGTTTTCCAGTTCCTGTTTCAGTACCAGTCTCTCCTTTTCCCATTCTTCCAGGGTACATTTTCCCTCTTCCCTCTCCTTTTGCTCGAGCACCCTTGCCAGCTGTTGATTGAGATCCTGCACATCTGCTTGATTTTTGGAGTTCCTCTGGCTCAGTTCTGTGTTTTCAGAGTCCAGCTGTTGGTTCCTGGTCTTCAGATCTGCCACCTGAGTGGGGACAGCAGTGTCAGCTATGACTGATTTTCCACTGGGAACGAGGTTTTTAATATTTCCTTTCTATTAAGGGGATTAAAGATCTGACAAGTGTCACTCCAACAGTGACTCTGACCAATTAATTGGCCTTAATTAGACCAGTTATATCAGTCACCCAGCACAGCACTGTTCCTCCTTCCCTTTGCCATGCTGATGTGGATTTTGAGGGTTATCCTAGTAGGTTATTCTAAGAAGAATTTTCCTCAGCAATACATGAACGTAAAAGCTACTTAAACCTTCTACTTTGGCCAGCATAACAAACCACCCTTAAAATAAAAGTAGCAATCACATGGATAACAGCTGGCAGCATTCCTAGAACCAGCCAGCTGGGAAATAAGCAGAGGCTGAGTCACATCATCTCTATTTCCTATGGGCTACTGCAAAGCATTACCCACAAAGACTACAAAACAAAAATTTAAACTTTATATTTCTAAGAAATAAACTTTCCAAGTTGACTTTGGAAAGGGCTCTCAAGCCTCTGTGAGCTGGATAATTACAGCTGTTGTCTTCTCAGCAGGTCAAACAAGCCTCAAATCAATCCCAAGGAGGTAATAAGAACAGCTGTCAAAGTTTAAATTTATAAAATGGTCGTTTTCCGCTGCCTTTGTGACCATCCAAGGAACAGTTTTTATACAGTGATGGTTTCTAGAGAGAAGGTTCTGGGCTCTGACCACACACCTGCTTTTTCAGGTTCTCAACCATCTTCTGTACAGCCACTTTCTCCTTCCTCACAGCCTCTATCTTTTGCCTAAGGAAAAACAAAAGCTCATTAACATTAAAATCGCTTATGAATATATTAATTAAGATAGGACAAGAGGACACAGTCTCAAGTTGTGTCAGGGTTGGACACCAGGAAAAATTCCTTCACTGAAGGGGCTGTCAAGCCCTGGCACAGGCTGCCCAGGGAAGGGGTGGAGTTCCCATTCCTGGAAGTGTCCAAAAAACACGTGGATGTGGCATTTGGGGACAAGGTTTGGTGGTGGATCTGGCAGTGCTGGGTTAATGGTTGGACCTGATGATCTTGGAGGTCTTTTCCAGCCTTAATGATTCCATGATTTTAAGAATGGGCTGTTTTTTAGCATCGTCAAAAACGATAATTCTGGATATTTATTTATTGGCTCAGCATCACTGCTTTGCATAAGTCTGGCAAGAATTCAACCCTCAAGGTGCCCCATGGAGGTCTTTTCTAGAAGAGAAGAATAAGTTCTGCACTTATCCAAGACCAAATGACTGGAATAATCTGCCACATGTGTGCCTTTCCCTGCCTTTGCTGAAGCACAAATAATTGCATCAGGTCAGCTCCTAAGTAGGTCCTGTGCTTGTGTGTGTTACTGGGTCATCTCAATGCCTACAGCTAAGCCTGCCTTCTAGGAATGGGCAGGGAAAAGGATGAGGAATAGCCTGTCAACCTGCTGGAGATTTCCAACAGCACCATGAAATGAGCCCATTTCAGATTTGTAGAATATCTCACACGCGAAGGAGCTCGGAGAGAAGGGATATAAACCCACTGTACTGCAGCAACAGCCTGAAGGCACCACTGGGCACGTGCCCCACGGAATTCTCACCTCATCTCTTCCCTGGATCCGTTTAGCTCCCTCAGCTTCAGGCTGGAAGCGCTTCCTTCCTCGTTTAACAGAGTCACCTCGTTTTTCAGAACGGCGTTTTCTTCTCGGAGCTTCTCGGCCTCGCGTCTGGGGCAGAGGGAGGAGACAGTGAGAACAGTTCCTGCGTAACAATCCAGGGTGGAAAAAGCCCTCCAAGCCTGAGATATACCTGTAATGCTTCAAAGCAAAGCTACAGTTGGCTTGTTTTGTGTATAAATAGTATATTCATATTTCAAGTTTCTTTAGTAAGAGCGCTCCCCAGTTCTTTAAAAAAGGGGCTCTTTTGGCGTGTTCTTGTATAGTTAAAAATCTAAAAAGCTGCTATATCTTTCAGTCCTTAAGTTACAAATAGCTTCACCCCACAATATGGAGACTGCCAGGAAAGCAAGCTGTTTCCCCAAGTGGAACTCAGAATTCTGGGAACAGCACTGTTGGAAAGTGCCTTTTCTGTCCTCAGGCGACTGTACAGAAATAACTTAGCCACGGTACAACACCTGAAAGAACAATTTCCTCCAGGAAGCTGGTGCTGAACAATAATTAAGCCACTTGTAGCCACTTTATCCATAAAAAAAATAAAAATCCTTGCTGGAATACAGCAGTTAAAAACAAATAGGTAAAACCTATGATACTCTGTGTTATAATGGTATTTACCATATCAAACACCTAACTGGGAACAAAAAGCCACTATAATTCTCTTGTATTAACTTAAATATTAAGGAAAAAGCAGAAGCCCTTTTAGCATTTCAAATTACCATAATTCTCCAGTATTAAGTGAAATACTGTGAAAAATAGGAGCAATTTCAGCATTCCGAGCAACACTCAGGACTAGAAGGGAACAAACGGAGTGAAGTGATATTAGTAAAAGCTAAAAGCAATCTGGAAAGTGTTACCATGGATTTTGGACATGGAAATACAGGGGTTTCTGTATTATAAACTACACACTGCGATGGTGACTACGTCCACAGGACAGCTGGCAGGTCGCTCCTGGTTTACCACTCGGGTTAGGTTGTGGTCAGGGAGAGAAGCCACACACGTTTATTTATTTATTTATTTATTTATTTATTCCAATGGTGGTTATCCAGGATTAGAGGAGTTAGGAGTCCATGGCACTGCTTGCTACTCAAGAGTTAGACTAGAGTGGTTAATGCAGGAGCCGTGCAGCGTGTGGAGCGGTGGGTGGGATCGGGGTTAGTGTGGCTACGGCACGTCGGTGCAAGACTACGTTACCTCAGGATATCAACCTTCTGCTGCAGCTCAGTGCACGTGCTCTGCAAGCCCTGTGTCACCACGCTCCTCTCCTCGCCCTCGCGGTGGAAGGACACGGAGTTTGGGATGCCCGGAGCAGCCGCCTTCTCCTCCTGGTCGGGCTTTTCCACCAACGTCCCTCTCGCCGCGCCGTCGCTTTGAGAATTGTCTTGCTGGCCTGGGAACGCTGCGGGACGTTCTTCCAGCTTCCCACCTCTTGTGTCACTGTGCAAATCTACGTCTTGCTCTTGGACATCTTCCAATTCTGTGATGTTTTGGAGGAGCTGCGTGTTTTCCTCCTTGAACTCGACGCTTTCCAGCTCGCTTTCTTCCTGTTTGCAACGAAGGCTTCTCAGCCTTTCCAGGTTGTCTTCTAGCACTTTATTCCTTTCAATTAACTGCATCATTTCAGCTTTCAGATCCTCGTTTTCCACCTGAATTTCTTCCTGCAGTGACAGAAGTTCAGCCTGTGCCATGGATCTGTCTTCCAACTCTTCGACCCTTTTCCAAAGCTGAGCTATAACGCTTTTCAGGTCACCGTTTGTTGATCCAGGAGTGTGATCCAACAGGGAAGAGGCTTCGCTCAGTTCTTCAGCCTTTTCAAGCTCAACCTGCAGCTTCAAAGCATCAGAAACAAACCCTTTATTCTTAGGAGCTATTCTGCCATTTAGTGGAGGAACCTTCTGCAGTCTAACATCGTTGTGTAGCATTTTTGCTCTGGGAACTTTCTCGAGGTCCCTCTTTTTTGGCAGCAGAGGCACCCAAGAAAGCAGCTCTTGGTTCCTGTCACAATCCTGACTGCCATCAGCATCCAGAGCTGCTTCACTTCCTTGTATCCAACACCCCTGTGCCTTGAGTGTGTGGCCGCCCGCTCCGGCTTTCGCACATCCTTCCTCCAAATCTGAATCCACCTCTGTCAGATCTTCCAGGTCTGTAATGTCAGCCTCCAAAGGTGGAAGGACATTTGAATCCATTCCCTTCTCTGCATCTTGACAATCACTGGGCAACCCTTCAAAACTGGGATCTATTCCCTCTGGTTCTGAGCCGGAGTCGGAGCAGCCGGGACTGGGAGGTTGTTCCTGCTCCACAGCTCGGAGCTGGTGCTGCAGCCTGAGGATCTGGGCAGCCATCCTGACATTCTCCTTCACAGCCTGCTCGTGCACCTTCTGCAGGCTTTGGAGAACTTCTGCATCATCCCCCAGAGGTGCTGTACCAGGGTAAGAAGCAATTTTGCTCTTGGCTTTTGCGTACTCGCTCTCCAGGGCCCTGTAATGGCTTTGTAGGGCGGAAAAACCACGCGCCTCCCACTGCAGTTTCTGTATTTTCCCTTGAAGGGCTGAGATTTCCAAACTCATCTCTGCCTTTTCTGTCTCTGCCCTTGCACAAATGTCTTTGTTTAAACTCTCCAGAGCAAGAAGTCTGGAGTTGAGCTCCTCTTTCTCTTGCTTATACTCACTGTCCAGTCTCTCCAGCTTTTGCCTAACCAGCTTCCCATTTTCCTCCACCATGGATATTAACTCGTCTTTGTCCTTAAGCTCTTTTTCATGGTCGTTCTGGAGCTGGGCTATCTTCTCCCTCAGCTTTTTCTCCTGCTCCTCGGCAGCGCTCCTCAGGTCTCGCAGCTCCTTCTCGAGCTGCTCCCTCTCGCACACCAGCTTGTTCACCTCTTCCTTGAAGTTCTTCTCCAGGAGATCTCTCTCCTGGGTCAGGGCAGAAGAAACAGCCTTTTCATTTGCCAGGCTCTCCTTCAGGTGCTCGTGGGTTTCAGCGACCTCCTGAGCAATCTCATTCCTTTCAAACTCCCACTGGGATTTCTCCTCCCTTTGCTGCTCAGCGAGTTCACGCAGCTCCCGCTGGTAACGTCCTTCCAGGCTTTGGAGGGTTTCTTCGTATTTGTTCACAAGCGTTTGTGTGTCCACAGAAAACTGAGTTTGTGCATGAGATGCTCTTCTGTTATAGTCACTTGCCATTTTATTCCTAAACACGGTCAATATAAGATATTACTAAACTCTGGGCTACCTCAAAGAGATTCAAAATGGCTTTTTGAATAAAACAAGCTGGAAAAAAAAAAATCCCTTTTTCACTGAGTTTTGTACTATTGCACGGGTGTTTCTGAGAGCTAACGTTAAAATTGAGGCAATTTGGTGAAACTTCAAAAAGGAAAAGCTTTGGAAGAGTGTAACAGCTCATGAAATGTCCTCAGAAAAGGTTTCATGGGCAGTGTGTGCCCTTTCTGTTCCTGTGCTGAGATTTGTGGGGGTAGATGTTTTTACCCTCATCTCCCTCGTCACCCCAGGATGGTTTTAGTTGCTTTTGACACGTGATGTTGGCTAAAAAACCATTTCCCAGCCATCCCTTTCTTTCTTCAGCAGAGAACTCTGAAAACCCAGATGTTTTAGAAGGACAAAGCAGGGATTTGTAAAGCACAGGGATCCTGAACAGAGCTCAAGTTAATCACGCCTGGTTATGCTTTAACACCATTGCTGCCTCTGGGCAAGCTAAAAATTAATATAAATACCTGCTTGAGAAAGGTCAGAAGGAAAAAAAAAACCAAAAACCCTGGTGAGCAGCCCAGTGTTGTGGAATAGAACAGGGAACAGCAGTGTACGGTCAGAACACTCGGAATTAGGTGCCATGGGTTCGTCTGCACTAGGCCCAGCTTGGACACCACGCCAAGCCACGGAGGTTCAGCACACCAGACACTCACCTCTCCTCCTCCAGCTCCTGCTCGTGCTTCCTCAGCAGCTCCTGCTGCAGCTCTTCCTTCTCCAGGGCGTGCACCTCCGCCAGCCTCTTCAGCTGCTCGTGGAAGCCGCGCTCCAGCTCCCCCTTCTCCTCCTGCAGCGTCTGCACCAGGACTCTCATCTTCTCTTCCGCCCAGACACCGTTTTGAATCAGTTCTTCCCGTTCCTGGCTGAACTTCTCGTTCACCTGCTCCAGTCTGGCCCTAACATCCTCTTCGTGCTCCTGCCTCAGCAGTTCCTGCAGGTTGGCTTTTTCCTCCTCAAAACACACTTGTAACTTGTTTTTCTCGTCGCTGTGTTTGCTGTCGAGCTCTTCCTGCTGTTCCCTGAGCGCTGCTGCCTCCCCCTGCAGCTCTGCTATTTGATTTTTGAGGCCAGTGATCTGCTTTTCCATGACATTCATCTCCTCGGAGTACTTCTTCCTCATATCCTCTTGCTCCTTTTCCCAGTGGGCTTTTGTCTCGTCCAGCTGCTTTTCATAGTGGCTCACCTGCAAAAGGAAAACAGGGTTGATTCATTCATTTCCCACAGAATGTTCTATGGAGATGTCTTCCTCAATATTTCCGTATCATAGTTTTATATATTCATTTTATTGAACATTTTGATTTACACATCATCATCTTACATTGATTTCCCTCGCAAAGCTTTATTTCTTACTGGGATCACAGAATCCCAGAATGGTTTGGGTGGGAAAAGGACCTTAAAGACCATCTCATTCCAGCACTTACTGTGTCTTCAAGCTCCTGTTTGAGGTGATGTAGATCCCTGTGATGTTGCTCCTTCATTTGCTCAATGGCCATTTCTGCCTCTATGCTCATATTTAGTGGGTTACAGTCTTCTGAACCAAGTCCTTTAGAAATAAAAATTAGATAGTAATAATTTATATTAGAATAAAAACATTACATAACATATAAATATATAAAATTCTCAACAGAATTATTTCGTCAATTTAAATTTGCTTAGGCAGCTACTTGCAGCTCTCAAATTCCCATCACAAACACAGACAAAGTGACTGAAAATATTAATTTCGGCTTTAAATATACTCCAGCAGTCATATTCCAAATTAACATTAAGTATCAAAACAGAGGTGGTGATCAAGTCTCACTGGGAAGGTTTTTATGGAACTACCTCCCAGATGTTATCATCAACCCCTAAAACACAGATCCTGGTCCTAGTGGAGATGTTCTTTACCTTGGTCGGGCTCGATCCCGCTGTTGCCGTGACTCTTCACATCGATGTCAAACTCTTCCGAGAGGGAATTTTTCAGGGAAGGCCTGAGCACTTTGCCCTGGGCACGGTACTCCTCCAGCTCCGAGTGCAGCTCATCGATCTGGTCCTGCAGCTCCTGAGAGGGAGGAAAGGGAGATCTGAGCGAAAGGAACCAAAGCAGCTGAGCATCCAACCCATCAACCATGAGACACTTAGGTGGGAATTACAGTAGGGAAAGACTTGTCAATAATCCATCATGCCATAGTCATCCCTCCTATCAGCAAAACAACAAGGGAGAATGGTTTCAAACTGCCAGAGGGAAGGGATAGATGCGATATTGGAAAGGAATTCCCAGCTGTGAGGGCGGGGAGGCCCTGGCACAGGTTGCCCAGAGAAGCTGTGGCTGCCCCTGGATCCCTGGAAGTGTCCAAGGCCAGGTTGGACTGGGCTTGAAGCAACCTGGGCTAGTGGAAGGTGTCCCTGCCCGTGGCAGGGGGTGGAATGGGATGGACTTTAAGGTCCCTTCCAACCTAAACCATTCTGGGATTCTGTGATGATTCTACGATGCAAAATTCTCAAAGGTGAAAAAGTATATCGTGCTCCAGGCACCTTTCACTTGATTCCTTCTTCCTGTGACCTTTTATTAAACAGCAGGAACCTTTACAAAGAGCCAAAAAACACCTCCTCAAACGCCATCTACTTGAAAAAATAAAAGAATCAAATCAGAAGCAAAAGATCAAATCAGGAACGAGATCCCCTCATTGCTGCATTTACCATCTGGTACTTCTGCCCCTTTGCCAGAAGAATATCCCGAGTGTTTGTGCCAAATGCCGTGCACTCCGCTCCAGGAACAGCAGTTATTGAGGGAAATAACTCCCTGAATGTGTAAACACAGAATTCTGCAGATCTGAAAAGGCTCAGAAAGCGAACCCTGGGTAGTGATTTATATCAGCCCTACTCAAAAATAGAACAATCAGCTGCGAATCAAGAACTTTCAATCCAACACCTATTCCCAGACAGTTTTTGTTTGTAAACTGCAACTTCCCAAGAGAGCTGTTTCTGATCAGACAGCCTTGGGCAAAGGCAGCCCTTTCTTAAATGAAAAGCATCGTGCAGAACAGATCATAGAACCATAAAATCCAAGACTGGTTTGGGTTTGGAAGGGACCTGTAAGCCCACCTCGTTCCATCCCCTGCCATGGGCAGGGACACCTTCCACCATCCCAGCTTGCTCCAAGCCCCATCCAACCTGGCCTCAAACACTTCCAGGGATGAGGCAGCCACAGCTTCTCTGGGCAACAGATGAACTGGTACCACTGCAGGCATCAGAAAGTAGGTATGTAAATAGATAACCTGCAGGCTCACCTCGAAGAAGTCTTTCAGCCAAACAAGATTTGGGGAGGAGAAAACAAACTTTCCATTCTCAGTTTTATTTTAATAAAACGCCAGTGGTTTGGAAACCAGCAAGGTGTGGATATATCTGATTTCTGCTGCAAGTTCCTGCAACTCTGAATTCCTGGGGCTTCACCCTTGGGGCACCTCATCCTCTTCAGCTCAGCCAGTTGCCTCTGTGGGAAGAGCTTTCCAAGCCCCCCTGTGCTGCTGTTTGCAGTAAGGATGTGGCACCTGGGGACACCACCAAAGTTAGTGGTGGCCTTGGCAGTGCTGGGAGTACAGTTGGGCTTTTCTAACCTAAATGATTCTATGATAGTCTTGGTGAAGAAGGGTGTCAGGTCTCAGCTTTGGGCTCCACTTACTCTGCACTGCTGCTCGTACTCGCTCTTGATCTGGGCCAGTCTCTCCTCCTGCAGGAAAAACTCTGCACTGTTGGGATCCAGGTCACCAAACTGAAACACATGAATGGGATCCAGTTACTCACCCACCAAACAGCCCAGCTCAGCACACCATGGATGCCATTCCTGCAGCCCATTCCAGCAGTCCTGCAGCTTATGCCTCCTCCCCTTCTATTTTTCATTTTAAATAAAGAAACTCTACTTCCCTGCTAGTGGGAAACAATGAGCAACCTCCCTCAAAACACTGTCTGCCACCACAGTTCTCATGCTCCCTCTGATTTCAGTTTTCTAGTTTAGCACATGCACATCTCTGTACAATAAATAATCCCAAACTTTCGAGAAGTCTGGAAAACAGATGCTGGGTGGGAATCCCAGCATATGAACATTTGTCTATGGATGCACAAACTCAAATGCCTTTGGAGAAGCTGATATTCTGATGAGTTTAAAGCAACACAGCCAGGATCAGGCATTCACTTTGATTTTCACATTATTTCAGCAGAGATGCCATATAACACCTAACTCCTCACGGATCCACTTCCCTGGAAAGGACCTGCTTGTTGGGTTTATCCAAAATTTTGCACTGAGGAGAAAAAAAAAAAATCCCCTCAGATCTGCAGGATGATTCCTTCGTTCTAAGGCTTCCTACTTTAATTAGAGTAAAACTACAGCTAAGGTGGAGCATCTTTAATTTCCTTAGCTGGAAAGCAATCCATGTCACCTTGGCCCTACCTGGATAAGGACCCCAGGAGCCTCTGGCTGTCAGTTAAACTGGCAGCTCGAGCTTAGAAACTTAAAAGGGATTTAATTCTGGAATCCCACCGGGAAAAGGAGGGTTTACCTTCTCAGCCAGGACGTTTTCCAAGTTCCTCTGCAGTTTGCTTGCCAGACTTTCACACTCGGCCAGCTTCTCTCCCGTTTCCAGCAGCTCGCTTTCCAGGCGGCTGTTTTCCTGGACCAAACAAAAACCCCCCCCACAACACCCTCAGCATTTGGAGGAGGAAAATATAAGCTTGTGTTAACTCATTTGAAAAAAAAAAAAAGAGTTACTCCCACTCAAGTTGGAGCATGACACTGTTCCAAGCTTCTGCCAAAGACAGGAATTATGAATCCACACAACCCACTCCCGCCACAGCCAAGTGTGAACGCTGGACTTGTGATAAAGCATCAAAAGGCATAACAGCAAGATGTTTGGGGTTTGCTTTAGATGTCTGGGGGGTTTTTAATTTATTTTTAAAGCAACATTTTAAGCATTGTCAAGATGTTTTATCTCCTGGCTGGACAGGAAAAGATCCAGCAAGGCAGCCGTGCACACACACGCTCTGCACTTGATGGCAGCAGAGATTTGAACTGGAGCCTTAGCAATCCAAGGAACAGCCCACGGAGGTGACCCAAAAACTGATTCTCATGGATACACATCTATCTGGCTGCTTAAACTACTTTTGGCCAGCTCCACACACACCATAACACACCCTCTCCACAAGCATAGCTCCCCGCTCAGCACATCCCTCCCTTTCGGGGGAAACCCCGACTCCTGGGTCCCTGTTACCTTCAGGGACAGGGCCAGGCGGTCCCGGATGTAATTCTCATCTGTTTTCAGCTTTTCAATCTCCTGCTCCAGCTCTAGCCTCTGTTTGTTCGCCTGCTGCAGGATTTGCTCCCTCTCTCTCCGGAGCTCGTTCTTCAGGGCCGCGATTCGCTCCTTGTACTCCTCGTCCAGCTTCCTACGGAGGCATTGGAGGCGAGAAGAGCTTGTTAAAAGGAGAAGGTGGCAAGCAATACTGGGAGGGAAGGCACTACCCGTGTCACAAAGTCCCCGTGATGCTGTGGCAGCTGTGCCAAGGAGGAGGGGAGGGCTGATTTGGGACACCACACCTGAGGTTGTACTCGTTCCGGCGCTCAATCGCGGCGTGGTGATCGTCCACTTCGGAGGCCATCAGGGATTTCAGCTTCTCGGCCTTCTCCAAGTCCGACCGCAGCTTCTCCTTCTCTCTGGCCACTTGGTCAAACCTCTCCCTAGGGGAAGCAGAGCCATCCTGGGTTAGGTCACCCCTTCCTGCTCCCTCAAAGGGTTTTTTGGAGGGGGGAGGAGAACGGTTCGGAAAGCTCCCCAAGGGTCTTATCAACCGCATTTAGTCACTAGATTTGAACTTGCACCCACAGCTCCAGACATGTCTTAATATCCCCATAGGTCCTGAGACCTCAAGCTTCCCAAATTCATCAAATCCTGGACTCATTTGGGTTGGAAAGAACCTTAAAGATCATCCAGTCCCACCCCCTGCCATGGGCAGGGACACCTTCCACTAGCCCAGGTTGCTCCAAGCCCTGTCCAACCCAGCCTTGGACACCTCCAGGGATAGGGCAGCCACAGCTTCTCTGGGCAACCTGCCAGGGTCTCACCACTCTCACAGGGAAGAATTCCTTCCCAAAAACCAATCTAATCCTGCCCTATGTCAGTGGGAAGCTGTTCCCTCTTGTCCTGTCCCTCCAAGCCCTTGTCCAAAGTCCCTCTCCAGCTCTCTTGGAGCACCTTTAGGTACTGGAAGGGGTTCAAAGGTCTCCTCCAGGGAAGAGCCTTCTCTTCTCCAGGGTGAACACCCCCAGCTCTTCCAGCCTATCATATGAGAGTATGAATACCCTGAATATCTAAACTACTCAAAGATTTACAGTACAAACAAAACACCACAAACAACTGGAGCTCGGGTGCGTGGCAGATGGATGCAGCAATGACAACAGGAGTGAATCCACACAAAACTGAGGGTGCAGTGCTTAAAGCCAGGTTCTCCAAAGTGGGGTGGACAAGAGGATCAATTGGTGTGTGGGAAAATTTGAGCTTCAGTAATACATATATATAAGTTATAAATTAATAAATATACACACAGGGAAATGTTTCCCATCTCCCACAGTCTCTGAACAGAGAAACCTGCATGGCAAGTCCAGTGCAAAGCCAAACTGTGTTGACTTTCAAATGAAAAAAGGGGGGTTGCACAGTGACTTTGTACCTTCCCCTCACGTCTATCACATGGCAAAAGCTCTGGGATGCAAGAAATCAGTTTGGATTAAAGGTACTGATAACAAACTGCACCAGCCTCCGTCCTAAACTGTGCATCCCTTGGCCATCCAGGACCACTGGGAATAGCAGTGACCACTTCCAGACTGTTCCCACACTGGGACCAACATCCTGCTTTCGTTTTTTTATTTTTCCACTATATTTTTCTGCAATCCTTGGGGTGAGTGTTCCAAAAAAAAAAAAAAAAAAGGAGACAGCTGGAAGTTTGGGAGGAATCTAAGAGAGAACTGAGCCTTCCAGTGCCACGTCCACACCACCATTGCTCAGCTGCCCCTTCAGCTCCTGCTTGGCCCGACGGAGCAGCACATCCAGCGATCCCGGTGACTCACACGAGGTGCCTGATCTCCGTTTTGAAGCTCGCCAGGGCTGCCTGGTGGACCCCATTCTTGGTTATTAGGAGCTCATTCTCTAGGGCCAGCGTCAGCTCCGTCAAGTTCACCTTCCCATCCAAGCTGAAGTCCAAAGCCTGCAAAAACAACGCGTCGTTAGAGCGGAACGAGCTCCCCCTGCCCCGCGGGAGCCTGGAGACGTTTGGACGTGAAGTGACAGGATGAAACGAGGAGGCTCAGAAGAGATCTTTGCTCGCTAATTAATCTGTCACAAACGCCTCCGGGGCAATAAACCAGACATCTCTGCCACCTCCCCGCGTTCCAGAGCTGCTGCCAGCTGTGGAGATGGGGAAGTGTCCCGGCTGAGCTGCAAGGCCAACAGGAAATTAAGCCCAGGCCTGATGAAATGCACTAATTCTCTAGAGGATCTAATGACAGCGGCCTTCCTAAACAGCAACTGCTGCAACAAAGTGGTTGGAGATGTTGATGTTAAACAGAACCAGCCCTTGCAATAGAGGCAACACAAAACCAGGAAGGATTTGATGGCAAGGATCTCGCCTCTTAGAAAGCAAGTTATCAGCAACTGCTTGGAATTTTATAGAATCCCAGAACGGTTTGGTTGGAAGGGACCACCTTAAAGATGGTCTCATTTCAACCCCTCTGCCATGGGCAGGGACACCTTCCACTGGACCAGTTTGCTCCAAGCCCTGTCCAACTTGGCCTTGAAGAAAGGCCTTTCCTTTTGTATTCAAAACTCATATGGATGTGTCACTTGAGGACACATTTTAGTGGTGAAGTTGATGGTTGGACTCGATCTTAGAAGTGTTTTCCAAATTAAATGATTTCCTAATTCAATCTAACTCTGCAGGAGCACAGAGCAAGTACTCGTGGTGGGGCTGCAACACTGCAGACACTGGAGAAACCACCCCAGTGGCACCAGGAACAAAGGAAGTTGCCAGTGGAAAGCAACATCAGAAGAGAAGGTAAAGGTGGACACACAGGTCTCGTGAAGATGGTCCCACGTTCTCAAACTGCCCTGTGCAAGCCCAGGCTACAAGTGGGTTTTAAAGCCTGAGCAATGACAGAGGTTATTACAACCTGGGCGTTCAATATCCACATGGATATGCAAAGTCAAGGGAATCACAGAGTCAGCATTGCTGGGAACCCAGCGAGGGTCTCAAAACAGAGACCACCACGTGAACTTACCCTCTCCCATCCACAGCTTCTAGTGAGATGGACGGGGATGGGGTTTATTCAGGCATCTGATTTGCACCCCCATCACCCTTTTACTCCCCCTGACAGAACACTAAGGACTGGGCAGGGTTTCAAGTGCTGTTCTCCACCTCAGCACCAGCAATAATTCAGGTCACTCCAGTGCTGAGAGGTGCAGCTATTCAGGGAGGGGAAGGAATTAAATTGCTTTCTAACAAATATAGGTGACCCCTTTGAGCTAAGCTGGAAATCACACTGTATTTTTATCATTAGCTTCCATCTCTGTGGGATGCACCATAAAGGAAATTATTGGAAATTTCGCAGAACTGTCGTCACTAGCACTGGGAATTTTTATAGGATCATAGAATGGTTTGGGTTGGAAGAAGCCTTAATAATCATTCCCTTCCAACCCCTGCCATGTGCAGGGACATCTTCCACTATCCCAGGTTGCTCCAAGCCCCGTCCAACCTGGCCTTGGACACTTCCAGGGATAGGGCAGCTCCTCTGGGAAGTTTTAAAAGGGAAAAAACCCAGGGATTTTAGAAGGGGGAAAAAAATAACTCAGTTACAATCCAGCATCCAACACTGGGGGGGGGGAAAAAAAAAAAAAACCACATCCAAGGGGTGGGATGGAGCTGGTGGTTACCTTCAGGATCTCCTGGCTGTTCTCTATGCCCTCCTGGTGCCAGCAGTCGAGGACACCCTCCACGCAGCCGTACCCCATCCCGTCATCCAGGCTGGAGAAGAGGGAGAAGCCGATGGTGCTGGGCATGGCCGAGGGGGTGGTCGTGCGCCGCCCGCTCTCGTCGAAGGACTGCCGGGAGAGGGTGAGGGTGTGACAGGGTACGGGCAGCGCCAGGCATCTGGCCACCCCGTGCCCCACAGAGGCTTACAAATGTAATTTCCCTGCTCCAGAGATTAAGGATTAAGGCCTGCTGCTCCTCACCGCCAAGCAAACGCCCAGTGGGAGCACTCCCGCTGACCTCACGGCGCCGCGGCGCAACCGGGCACTGGGCATTTAAACTAAATCTGAGGAGGGGCAGTTTCAGAGCTGTCCCCAGTGCTCCAGAAGTGTTTTTCCACTGCTCATTTTCAGCTTTGAGCGTCACCTCCCCCAAAAAGGCTGCAGGGAGAACGTGCAGAGGTGCTTCGGGTACAGCCCTCAGCTTCCAGGCAAAGACAGGGAGTAGATTTCAAACTCTCTCTCCGAAAATAAGTAATAATTGGAGAAGAGACATGGGACCTGCATGTCCTTAGCCCCCAGCCTAATCCAGGTATCACTTCCCCCTGCACCCAGTTTATACTGGATGCTCCATCTGGAACTGTTCAAGGCCAGGTTGGATGGGGCTTGGAGCAACCTGGGCTAGTGGAAGGTGTCCCTGTCCACGGCAGGGGGGTGGAACAAGATGGTTTTTAAGGTCCCTTCCAACCCAAACCATTCTAGGATTCTATAACTCTACACCATTTACTTACTGCACTTCACAGGTTGCCAGAGCCACCTCCCCTTTAACATGAGGGTGTTTTCTGTTTCATCTCCCCCCAACCCTCCCAAAGAAGCTTTTTCTGAGAGAGAGAGAACTTGAAATCTGCTTTTGGAGCAGCTCCCTGTCACCACCTCCTGCCTCCACAGGGCAGGGGGACCCTCACAGCTGCCCCTCCAGGGACAGATGGTGAGCAAGAGGAGGAGACAGGCTAAGTGGGATTTGCTCAGGACTTCTCCCCCTCCTTTTTCCCCAGGATCCACCTCAGTTTCTCACCTGCATGGAGAGGTGCCGTTTCAGCTGTCGGTACGGAGTAGACGCCGAGGGTGTCAGTGACTTCCCATTTTTAATCAGGCCATAAAAGAAATCCTCTACACTCATGGTCCCATCTTGCTCCAGGTTGTGGAGCACCTCTTCGAGCACCTGCAAGGAGACAGAAATCACATCTATCACCAAACCACCACAGTGACAACCTGGCACAGAGGAAACATCCTATTCCCAAGGCTCTAAAAAGAGCAAAGCAGGAGTTCTCAGGTACCACATCAGCCTAATGCTGGTACAGCAACCTCCACATGGAAAACTGCAGACACAGACACCACGAAAAAAGCTCGATGACCATCTTGGAGCCTCTATTTAATGAGGCAGCATGAAAAAAAAGCCTCATTTCATTCTGCTCCCTAGACAGGGTGACCTTAGGAATTCAGCACAACGCACTGAGAGATGCCAAACCCTCAGCAGCTTGAAGTGACCAGGCAAAAAAAAACACAGTAAGACACTGCAAGGTTATAATAAATTTGTTTTATGCTTCAGGGCGTGCTGCTTTCTGAAGAGCAGGATCAGAGATGTTCAGATTAGTCCCTCACTATTTCTTTGCCCACAGTTTATCTTTTCCATTTTCTGCCTTAATACCCTGAAAACATTTCATTGCAGATACTGCAAAGGAATACCTGCCCAGACTCATGTTTTATGGAGGGAATTATTACAAGCCATGTTGTTTTAAGATGCAAAAAGTCCGACTTTTCTAATAAAACGAAATCCTAAGTTGACAAGAGACTTTCTTTGCTGAAGAATTCATTTTCTCGTGGACTCTTGCAGCAGGACAGAAACAGCCCAGAGGCCTCCACAAAGTCGAAAGCAACCACCTATGAATATTTAACCCATATTTACTGTCTAGCTAGAAGATTCCTGGGATTAAGGAGACATGCTTGGAATCCAGGAAATGTTTTTAAATTCCAGTTTCCTCTGCAATTGCATGAGGAGACACGCACGCGACGGTGTAAGGCTGGCAGCTGCCTCCTCCTAGAGCAGCCACCCACATCTGATGGTATGACACCAAAAATACTGCTGGAAAAATCAGGGGCTAGAGATGGAAACTCCTAAGTAGCAACCTGTTCACCAGGACAGATCTGGGGGAGCCACATTAAATCCCAGGACACAGGCAGTGCTGTGAAGGTCTGTACATGGTCACTCACCTCCCCAGCCACCGTGTGCAACCCGTACTGCTCACAGATGGAAACCAGCTTCTTCCTGTTCAGGTGGCCATCCCTGGTGATCCCCAGGTGCTCACAGACCTCCTGCAGCTTCTCCTCTATCCAGTCTGGGCTGGGGGAGGTGCCAGGGGAGGCGTTCAGGTCGTCCGGGTTCCAGAAGCGCAGCTGTCCTGGAAATGGGAAATTGCTCTGCTTTTTGGGGTGGCCACCAGAAGACCTGGGGGGGTCTGCACATCACAGGGGACCTGCTGCTGCGGTGGGCAGAGCTCCTTTCTGGCTCATCCGATCCCATGGGATCATTTGCCTGAGCTCATCCTGCTCAGAGCACATCTGGCATTCTGGGGTATGGATACTGATCCCAGCAGCATCTCAGTCCACCAGAAGGTTCTGCTCAGCATTCAGCTCACATGTGCCACCACAGGGGAGGGAAACTCATGTCTGTAGAATCATGGAATTGTTGAGGTTGAAAAAGATCCCTCAGATCACCAAGTTCAACTGCTCCCCCAGCACTGCCAAGGACACCACTAACCCATGTCCCCAAGTGCCACGTCCACACATTTTAATTCCCCCCAAGGGATGGGGACTCCACCACTGCCCTGGGCAGCTGTGCCAGTGCCTGACCAGGTTGAGGGTGACCTAGAGCCGGGATGGTGGCCAGGAGGATCTTTGGGAATGTGGTTGAGTCCAATGGCCAACGTGGGCTGCCAGCCAGGGGAAGGGCAGTTCTCTATCCAGGTAAAGATGGAGAAGGGACCCCTCCTCCCCTGGGCAGTTAGGGGATCAAGGGAGCTGCAAGGCCATCTCCTGGGGCTGGAAAAGTAGCTTTAGGAATAAAAAACATGGTCCCTTTGCATAGGGTAGGAGTTAGAGAGCAGCTGAAATGCAGAAGAGGTGTCGAAGCAATTAAAAGGAAGAAGGTTTTTACAATGAGGATGGTAAAACACTGGCACAGAGAGGTGGTAGCTCTTCCCTGGAAGTTGTTCAAGGTCAGGCTGGACAGGGATTGGAGCAACCTGGTCTAGTGGAAGGTGTCCCTGACCACAGCAGGGAGTGGAACTGGACATCTTTAAGATCCCTTCCAAACCAAACTATACGATTTCATGATTCTATGACAACCAGGGAACCTTTAACAACTGGTTCCTGCTGACACCTAGTGCCTGCTGAGCTCCATTACAGCCAGCACCCCCCAGGGCAGGAGTGGGGACCAGGACAGGGGTGCTGAGCTCAGGGACACCAGGACGAAGGTGGCAGAGAGGCAAAGGCACAGGTCGTGCCCTCTGAGGCTTTAGCTTTCATCCCCAGGTGCACCTCCCTGAGCTCTGCACCAGCCAGGCTGGGATGCTCCACGCACCCAGCTGGCCTGAGACCCTCTCCATGTGCTCCCCTGATTCATCTTCAAAGCTGTCAGGAGGACAAGCCACATCCAAGTGCTGCTCTTTGCTCTTACCCTCGGCCTCGTACTCCTCGCTGTCTCGCGTCTTCCAGCGCTGGGGAGAAAACAAAAGGTTCCTGAGTTATTACTATTGCAAGACATCACCCCTAGGAAAAGAGACTCAGAGATCAGCACTGAAGGAGCTGCAGGGCTCCAGCAACACCGCCGGGCTTTCATCTCCCAGCTCCCTGTGGGCTGGGCTGGCAATCCACGGCTCTTTGATCCTGCCTTGTTCTCCGGCGGGGAGAAACTACGGCTGCAGCAAGAGACACCCAAAGCCCCGCAAAATGACCCAGGAGAGGTGACAGATCAGAGCCTGGTAGGGTGATGGGAGAGAGGGAGGGGTTCGCCCTCCAAGAAAATCGTGCTGCTGGTCGAGGTGTTGACAGTTGAGGTGATGGGATGCAGGAAAGATCATAGAGCTGCTAGCTGGGTTATCCTCTCCTTCCAGCACTCTGTTTTTCCCTATTTTGGCCCACGTTTAGCCAAGCCCACTCCAAACCTCCTCCACTAACTTCAGCTCTAGGTCAGGAGACAGACCCGTGCTGTCAACAAGCTTGAAGAAAAAACAAAAAACAAAAAACCACTCTTTGGTGGTCTTAAGCCCTCTGGAAACACCCTCATTCCCTCTGGAAACACCCCATCAGCTCAGGCAGCACCGGGAGCAGGGCGGAAGTACAGGATTTAAGATGATTCCCTCATGTACTACACGTTGTCTCATCCCTACCACCCTTGTACCAGCCAAGGGTATTTACTCCCACGCCACACGAGCTCCTGGTTTAGCAGCGGCCTCGGCAGATGTTGCTTCTCCACCGCTACAACAAGTGGATACTTCTGCCTGCACGTGACTGATGGATTTGGAGGCAAAGTCACCCAGGACATAAAGAGGCTCTAAATCATCGCAGAAAAAGTTCAATACGTCTCATTCAGATTACAGCTAAAAGCCATTAATCTACAACGTTACCATGGAAACTGGATTAGGTCACTGGACTTTTTTTAGCTCTGCCGCTTGTTCCCGTTTCAGCTGCCGGACCAGGCAAGGGCCGTTCGCTGCCACAGCATCACAAGGTCCCACCAGAGACAAAAAGCAGGAGCTGAGGCAGCAGGTACCATCAAATCCCACCCCTGGAAGTGTTCCAGGCCAGGTTGGACGGGGTTTGGAGCAACCTGGGATAGTGGAAGGTGTCCCTGCCCATGGCTGGGGGGTAGAAATGGATGATCTTTAAAGGTCCCTTCTAACCCAAGCCATTCCATGATTTTATATAATTACCATCTGCAAAGACAGAAAACAGCCTAAAACCTGCACAAGCTGACACCATCCCAGCCCTTGAGTGCCTGTACATGTGCAACAGCCAACACTGTGTGGAGAGGGGGTCTCTGAGTGCCACCCTGCAGCAACTCATCCTTGTCCTTGTGGTGGGGGGGGAAACTGAGGGGAATCTGGTAGTGATGCTCAGAAGGCAGATCCGCTGTGTCCGAGTCCTTCTGCACAAGCAACATATTTTTATATGTGTATATATATATATATATATATATATATTTCATAGCACCAGACCCTTTGACTTCAAGGATGCCTCAAAACCAAGAACCCCAAACCAGAGAAGCTGTGGCACTTCCACCCCTGGAAGCACTTATGGACATAAACCTCGCTGTGTTGCAGCCTCGTCGGGTTGTTGGCGTTTATGGGGTTGTTGTGTGTTGTGGGTTCGTAGAATCCCAGAATGGTTTGGGTTGGAAGGGATCTTAAAGATCATCTCGTTCCCAACCCGGTGATGTGGGCGGGGACACCTTCCACTAGCCCAGGTTGCTCCAAGCCCCTTCCAACCCAAACCATTCTGGGATTCTACAAACCCACAACACACAACAACCCCATAAACGCCAACAACCCGAAGAGGCTGCAACACAGAAGGGGGGGGCCTGCAGGCTGGCACCCCCCACCCGACAGCGACCCCGGGGCGCTCGTGTGACCTCCCTGCCCGTGCCAGGGAGGGCTCGGGGGTCCCTTTGTGTGACGGGGGCTCGGGGTTGGCCACCACCGGCGGGAGCACAAAGAGGGGCCGGGCCGGGCGTGGGGGGGACGGAACATCCCGATGTCAGGCCCGGCATTGTTCCCCCGGCCCCAGCAGTGCTACAGCTGGCCACGGGTCACACCCAGCAGCCGCCGGGATCCCAGGAATGCGTTATTATTTGGGAGGCGCGTGCTCGGCCGGGCCGAGGAGCAGATGGCCACGGCTTTCAATGCATCTGCAGCCTGTGCCGTTTGCTCGCCGTGGCCTCTCCCCAGAATAAGGCAGCAGTCACCTCTTCTCCCCCCCTGCCATCTGCTCCAGCCAGACAGACCTTTGTTCTCCCCCAGAATATATTGCTAATTAAAATGATGATCAGGAGCGCACGCCGGGCCCGCTCTGCTTCGCGCGGCGCAAGGTGAGCCAGAGCCCCAGCGTTGGCAAATCCCCTTCTTCCCAGATCCAGAGATCAGCTTCCTGGGCTGAGCAGCCGGAGCAGAGATCCCAAAAAGCTGTCAAATCTCCACACCCCACTTTGCTAGGCGCCTCCAGCTCTAAAGCACCAGAGTCACATCAATAACGCACTTTTGCGGGAAGCAGGCGCTATCCTGAGGTGTTATCCACAAACCCTGGTTGTACAGGACAATCCCAGTTTAGGAGCCTCACATCAAGGACCCAAAGGCAAGGAGTTTCAACCTGAGCCTCCCAGAAGGTTTTGCTCCAAGGCCATGCCATGCTAGAAGCAACTCTTGCAGAAGCAAACACACAGAAAATGGGAGAGAGTGGCTCCAGGAGGCACGGAAAGGACAGAGCTGGGATGGGACAGCAGTTTCTACAACCTGAAGGCCAGGCTGGACAGAGCTTGGAGCAACCTGATCCAGTGGAAAGTGTCCCTGCCCACAGCAGGAGGTGGAATAAGATGGACTTTAAGGTCCCTTCCAACCCAAACCATTTTGGGATTCTATGAACCTGCAAGTAGGAGGGACCTTTCCCAGAGCAGAGCCAACAGCTGGGGAAGGGGAGGTGACAGATGCTCTACGGTGAGGTTTGGAAGTCAGCACGGCCAGCATCCATGGGGACAGACTCCTGCAGGTCAGAGGGACCCTCAGGATCCCGCCACCACGCCCCACTCACAGCGGGATCAACACCAAACCCAGACCCAGCTGCTCATTACTTTATCCAACAGCACCTGAAAAACCACCAGGAGTGGAGGTCACGGAGCCTCCCCGGGCAGCTGATCCCACGCACAGACCAGCCCTCCAGCCTCTCCCCTCGTGTTTACAGCCACGAGGAGGGGAGGGAGGGAAGGAAGGAAGGAGGGAAGGAATCCTCTCAGACAGAGCCTGAGCCCTTTTAATTGGCACCGCTTGAGAGCAAGCGCCAATTAAGCCACCCTGTCCCAGTTCTCAGGCCACAAACAGCCCGGGCCGGAGCCAGGCTTGCGGAACGCCGGCGATGTTTGTACACACAACAGCAGAAAACTGGGAAAAGGCTGGTGGCTGTGCCAAGTCCCAGAGAGTCAACGCATCAGGAGTCTCCAACACTTCCCTAGGACCCCTCAACACCTCCCAGCAACTGGTTTCCGTGCATACCAAGGGGATCTGCTTTAGAAGTGAGATAGCAATGCTGATAGAGTCAGGATTTTACAAGTTTAGCCAGTTTTTTGCTTAATTTGCAAGAGAATTAACCATGCCATCACCCCAAAAGGTGCAACAAGCGTTCCCAGCAGGAGACTGATCCACCCCCTGGTTACAGTACCAGCTGGGTTAATTAACTGACCTTGTTAATAAACTACCCTTTTACACCTCCGTGACAGCTGAAACCGAGGAGTAAGATTAGAGTAGCCTCTTCCATCAAGGGCATGGCTTCCCTAGGGGGTGTGGGCGGATTAACACCGATTCCAAGGTCAGGGCAGCCCATGTGGGCAGCACCAGGAGATGGATGAGCATCCCTGCAGGCAGTGAGCAAAGGTCACCAAGAGCAGGGAAAAGAAGCTGGGTCTGATGGAAAAGCTTTTCTTTGAGGTATTTTTTTTTTTTTAAATTTTAAGCTCAGCTGCATGGGAACAACACTGAAAACCTGGAAATTTCTCCCTTGCTTTCCCATACAGCGTTGGTGGCTGCAGAGCACCCCCCATCTCACGAGTCAAGCCAAGAGACAGAGGAGGGGAGAGCGCAGCAGTGCTTCTTCCCACTGGAAAACTCCCACCCTGTGCTCCTGAATCAACAATACTTGGCAACCCAGGGCAGGCTGGAAGCAGCCCAGCTCCAGGGAAATGCCGCTGTGGCCGTACTCTAACACACACCAATCCCAACCACTCGGCTCCTCTGGCTTTTCTGTCTGGGGAAGCAAGAGGTTTCGGGATTGAAAGCGCTGGCACAAAGAAAGCCACAAATTTCAGTCACAAAACCAGGAATAACAAAAAAAAAAAAATCTGGATTTTTGAGCAAGTCTAAGCCCTGAGAGCTCCTGGCTGCGGAGCTCTGCCACCCACCACCCCCTTCCCCCCATTCCCTCTGCCAGAGACCTCCGGAGCCACGGGTGGATTTTGGCAGCTGAGCTAATGGATGTGGACGTGCTCCCTGTGCTCCCAGCCCACACTTCGTTAGCCACGGAGGCAGCGGGACAGCCCTTCCCTAATTGCTGGCCCGCTCGGGAGCCAGGAGAGCGGTGAGGCCAGCGGTGCCGGCACACGGAGCACGTCACCACCAGCACCCGGAGCACATCACCCCTGGCTCCTTCCCGACTTCCCACGGCAGCCACGCGGATGGGAATCTGGGGCTGGAGCAAGGGAGGTGCTGCCTGGCATGGCTGATCGATGCCTTTGCTGGGAAGGCTCCAAGGACACCCGAACCCCCTTTGGATGTGGGGAGCAGCGATGCCTGGGGGCGACAAGCCCACCCCCAGCGCTCATCCCGCTTCCCTGCTCACCTGCTCGCTGGAGGGGATGTGTGTGGGATGTGCCTCCTCGCTCAGAGGCTCAATGACCGTCACCTCGGCAAAGTCCTCCACGGACTCCTGGAACTCCGGCAGGGAACGCCGGCCGTAGCGTTTGCCACCTTTGATGTACTTGGGCTGTGCTTCCGGGGAGGAATCTGCGAAATTCAAGCACGACACACATGGATAATGTGATTTTTTTCTCAGATCAAGCTCCCAGGGCTGGTTTGGTCGGAATTGCCACCACCATTCCCACTGGGCAAGCGCCAACGGCTGCACATTCCCAGGACCACTGCCCTCAGCGTGGTGTTGGGCCTGATGGGTTTGGAATGGTTCTGCTCCCTCCTAAAAAAAAAAAAAAGCTGTCTCTAAGTGGAATCTTCCTCTTCCTCACCCTTCCCCAATTCCCAGATCAAGTTAACAGGATGGGGAAACACTCCCTCAACCTTGCCAAGAGCCTCCGACGGAAAGTCCATTAGGCCTCTCCTCCTTGCACTAATCTCCATTAGCAGCGCCGGGCAGGTTTAATTAGGGACAGCGTTGCACTTAGGCAGCTCAAGTCTCCGGATCCCTCAGACACCTGGGCGGCCGCCGCCGCCGCTTTCCGCGGATTTAAATTTCAGCTCCATTAAAAGTGTAAAGACAACCTGGCGAGTGGAAAAAAAAAACAATTGGGCAAGTTTGGAGGCGAACGTCTCTCTCGGGGGCAGCCGATCCCAGAGACAGTGGGGCAGGTCCCAGCCTGTGCTGAGCAGCCAGTGCCAACTGCGGGACCTAAATAACCCCTTGGAGTCCTCGTCTAATTACAGGGGCTCCAACATTCCCCGGCTCCAGCTTCCCGCAGCAAGCTCCTGCCCTTAGGGGACCGAATTATCCGGGAGCGCTCGCAGACAAGGATCAAAACAAAAAAAATAAATAAGCACACGTTTTTGGGCTATTTTCAGTGAGAAATCACCCGACGTCTGGAGCAGGGGGCAAATTAAACAGAGGACCAAATTAGCCAGGGATTCAATTAGGGGAAGGCTCTGTGCCACGCTTTGTTTCAGTGTTTGCTAACCTGACTGTCGAAACCCCCCCAGGACTCCATCATCTTTTATTTTCCGCCACTTGCGGTGGCAAGAGCAGCAGCTTTTGAAAATTTTATTTGCAGAGGGCTCTGATATAAAATAAATGCAAGACTGCAATACTAATAAGGCTCAGGGAAGCGGGTCCATCACTGACAAAGGATACACGGGAAGCAGCGGGTCTCTAAAAACCCCCCTACCCCAAACACCTCCTCAGATAATATTCCTTTAGATATGGAAGAAAAGGCTTCAAGCTTGTTAGAGAAGAAAAAAAAAAAATATACCACAACTTAGCTATGCAATGAATTATAAAATACACAGGACGAGGAGCGCTTTGATTCCTGAAGCCTTGCACTCCATCCAGCCGTGGTGCAGCTCTAGGGAACAAACCCGGCGCCCGTGTTTGAACAAGGCCATCTTAACAAGATTTGCTGCAGCTGGGACTCAGCACATGAAAGTTGGGAGATGGAGGGAGCCGATAGAAAAATCTCGAGGAGACAGGCTGATTGAGTAAGAGCCCCAGAACAAAAGCAAACCTTATCACTCCTATTAAAGCCTGCCTGGTGGTGAACAATCTCCATCCAGCAGCTCTCTCTGAAATGCTAATATTTGTGGCGACTCATTCACCCTGTTATTTTCTCCCTCCCTCACAAGAGGGCTGGGGGCTTTGTTTTTCTTCAGGAATCATTTTTTATTCCTAAGACAGGGATGTACCTCCATGCCCATTTGTCTTTGGAAGGATGGGGGGGAGCAAGTGGGGGGAAGATGCTGTAATTTAGCAACAGCGAAGCTAAAGCTAAATTTCCTTCTGGGTTTCCCAAAGAATCCTGTTTCCAACCCTGCCACACTGACAGTGTGTTTAACCACTGCTGCAGCTGGAAGTCCAGCTGCATGTGGTCTACTGGAAGGTGTCCCTGTCCATGGAAGGGGTTGGAACAAGATGGACTTCAAGGTCCCTTCCAACCCAAGCCATTCCATGATTCTGTGAAACAAAAGTGCCTTCACACTGAGCTCCCTGCAAGCAAAGGAATGGGAACAATGGGAGCGTCTCCCCACTTCTGTGTTTTAAGCATTTGGAAGCTGGCAGCTGATTTCTCTTTCCTGTTTGCTCTGAGCACCCTGGGTGAGCTTGTTTTCCCTTTGTAATTAAAAAACTGTGAAGCCTGAGAACATCCCCAGGAGGGAAAGGTGACCCTTCACAGCTTGAGAGCAGAACATTTGTTCCTGCTTCGCTCTGACTTTCAAAACTGGCTGTGCCTGAGGAGATCCCAGCTCAGGCATCCTGAAATCCCATAGCTCAGGCTCCCCGAAATCCTGTTTCCAGAGCCAGGGTGTTTTTGTTAGCACTGAGCTGCAGCTCTTCCCCTACCCTGTGCCACACTGACATAAGGGACCACATCCTGCAGCCCCATCCCTGGAAGCACGAATCCATCCCCTTTCCAGAAAGCCTCATGCACCATCATCTCTCAACCATGGATACCTTCCACACCTGCAGCATCCTCTAAGCCTCTCCATCTCCTGCCTTGCCAACCCAAACCCCCAGCACAGCAGTCATGCCCTTGATGCTCCCACTATTCCCAATATTTAGGGAATGCCAAGTGCCCACACCAGCAAAAAGCAGCCACCCGTGCTCCCTGAATGCAGGAAGTTCAGTGATGAACTGAACAATTTCTCATTCCCAGCCAAAACCGATGAGGAAGGATTACAGAATCATTAAAGTCAGTGAAGATGTCCAAGATCATCAAGTCCAGCCTTGGATGGGAAGAGCTGCTCAATCCACACCTGCTTTCAAAGGCAAAGGAGGAACAGGAGGGAGATGTCAAAAATCAAGGCTTTCAGTGAGGCAGGTGCCCTGTGCGTTATTTATCCCCAAAAATATAAAATATCTGCCTGTATTGAACCGAGGGGAGGATGCTTGTGTCCAGGTACCCACTTCTCCCACCAGCAGCAAGGCAAGATGCTGCAGCTCACAGACTCTCATTACTTGTGTGGCTGACAAGGCACCAAGAAAGGGGGAAAAAAAAGAGAAAAGTGAAATAGGTCGAGCCCTCCCTGCCTCCCACAGCCCCCAGCAACACTCAGGCTTAGCAAAACACACACTCTAGAGCCGGTGCCTAATTAAACACTGAGGTCTGATCTGCCCCCTTGAACTGCCCCCGGGCTGGGGACAAGAGTGGGAGGCTGAGAGAACAAGCCTCTCACCTTCCTGCCCGTTGCCCAGAGGGTTTGTGGCCCCTAAAGTGCCCCCTGAAAAAAAAAAACCAAAACCAACAAACAACCCACTTAAAGTCTACATTTCACAAGACCTCCCTGATTTAAGCACCGCAGACAGAAACCATCGATTCCCTTTCTCACTCTCCCTCCCACCCCCACCCCCCTGTCCATCTCGGCAGTGAAACGTCTCCATGGCTGGAGATTTACACTTGATTTTCTGCCTTTCTGCGCCAGATAAGTCATTTCAAAATCCTGCTCTGCCCTCAGATGCTTGGGGAGGATGGAGGACGGGGGGGGGGGCTCCCCTTTCCTGGGCCCAGCATCAAAGCCCTGGAGCGCAGACAAAAGGGGGTTTAGAGCAGGAAGACCCTCGTCCCGCAATCCCGGCGTTTAGAAGTGAAATTAATTTCTTTGCCGCTTAAGATTTGGAAGGCAGAGGGATGCTCCAACTGCTGGGCAAAGCACATGGCAGCTGGGATCTGCTAAATCCTAATCCCCTGAGGCACCAGGTATGTCTGAACTCCTCCAAGTCCCTGTTCCATAATTCAGGCTCAGCCAGTGGAGGTGGAGAGGAGCCATGGCTGGGTCACCACGACCCCAAAAATCAACGCGATTCCACCCAAAGATGTTGTCTGTGCATAAACCACCCCCCCTGTCTGGACAGCGGCACTGGTCTTATCCCTGTGTTGCAGCCACCTGAACAACCACCCCCACCAGCTCCTTTTTGGGAGGGCACTTCTGTTGTCTCCACCGGGAAGGAAAAAACCCGACGACCCCTCGTGACCGCGGGGCCGATGGCGTCAAACTGCTCTTTAATTTCTCCTGGGTGTTCCCGTAATCCTGCACTCCACCCCCGGTAATCCCTCCCCAGCTGAGCTTCCACGCACTTTTTATTTGCTATAATGGGGAGGAAAGAAAAAAAAAAAAAAGCCTGATTTTTTTTCTTTCCCCTAATCGCCCACAGAACTGATTTTTTTTTCCTTTTCTTCCTTTCCCCACCTTTAAATCTATTTTACTGTCCCAACAATGACCAATGGACAAAGAGCAGTGGTGGTGGCAGCAGCAGCCAGTCTAATCCCACGGATCTCAGGGGCTAAAATAATCACTATTTTAAACTACATCCAAGGTTTTTTTCTGCTTTTACTGGAATCTCCCCATCCCTCTTCCCAGCAGAGCCGGGGTTTGCCCAGCCAGCTGATGCTCTGGTTCACAGCTGGGTCTGTGTCCCCACACCATCATCCTCAAGGGGACAGAGCTGATGACAGCAGCACTGGGAACTCTGCCTGCCTTGGTTTCCAGGGCTTCTTCCCAGGCAAAGCGCCTGCAGCATGCCAGGACCAACCTCCCTGCCAGTCTTCCCTTTGCAAAGGGAATTTTGCCTCTTTGCCAAGAAAAAAAAAAATCATATAAATATATCAGCTGCTCTCTGCAAGCCTGAGTGCTTCTCCCACCTGCTGCTTCCTCCCAAAATGAGGAAACCCCATCGGCTGGTTCTGCAGGAACCACGGCAGTTTTGCTTCCTTGTCCCCAACCCAGGGATCCTGATGTGATCCCAGGGCTGCCCTGTCGTAGATCTCAGACTGGTTTGGGTTGGAAGGGACCTTAAAGACCATCTCATCCCAGCCCCTGCCATGGGCAGGGACACCTTCCATTATCCCAGGTTGCTCCAACCTGGCCTTGGACACTTCCAGGGATGGGGCAGCCACAGCTTCTCTGGGCAACCTGTGCCAGGGCCTCCCCACCCTCAGTCAACAAGTCCTTTACAATATCCCATCTAAACCTACTCTCTGTCAGTTTGAAGCCATTCCCCCTTGTCCTGTCACTCCAGGCCCTTGTCAATAGTCTCTCTCCATCTTTCCTGTCAGCTCCCTTCAGGTCCTGGAAGGCCACAGTCAGGTCAGCCCAGAGCCTTCTCTTCTCCAGGCTGAGCAATCCCAATTCTCTCAGCCTTTCTTTATGGGAGAGCTGCTCCATCCCTCTAATCATCTTGGTGGCCTCCTCTGGACTCGCTCCAACAGCTCCATGCCCTTCCTGTCACCCCCAGGCTCCTCATGCTGAGCCATCCTCCCCGAGCCAGGAGCATCCACAGGGACAAGGATGATGTCCCCAGCCAGGTCCCTTGGCCGTGCTGCACACGCAGAACAGACCAAAGCCACGAGCCCTCCAGTGCTCCCAGACCCAAGTGACCTTCCCATCACCCAAATCCCTGGATAAAACCACAGCATCACAGCACACAGTCGCTTCCTTCCAGATCAAACTCCACAGACACAGCAAACAGCCTTGAAATCTCTGCTTTTTTTTTTTTCCTCCCCTAAATTAAATTTTCATTTAAATGATACGATTTAGAGCTCTTAACTCAATTTTTCCCAAGCCCGGGGCGGGCTGGAACACCAGCATTTCCACACTCCCTGACAGTTTGACACCAACAAGCACAAAGCAGCTTGTTCTCCAAATCTCCAGTTTGATCTAAATTAAAAGAAGCAAAGACTTTGGCGTTAACCAACCTGTCAAAATGCATTAACAATAAAATGCCTCCCAGGCCTGCCTGGTGCTGGCTCCCTACCTGCACCCCATGCCCTTTGATTCCCTGCCATTCCAAACCCAGCTGACAAACGTGTCCCCAAGGAGGGCTCTCCGGCTTCACTCGTAATTTCCCCCGCGAAAACCCCAAATTCAGCTGTTTCTAGAAGATTTATTTACATTTCAATCAAGCTGGAGCTCCTCAGCCATATGATTCCCCAATAAAATGCAGAATGCTGGGATTAGTTCTGCTTCACTGGGGTGCTGGGGTTGCCTCCTGCTCCGTGCCAGCTCCTCCCCAAGGGGTTGGAAGGGATCGGAGCAGATCCAACCCCTCACCACACACCACAGTGCTCCCCCCTCTCTCCCCAGCACCCACTGACCTGTGCTGGGAAATTCCATTAAGGAATGCCTGGTGCAAGAGCTGTCATCACCCATCTCCCTCTAAGCATTAAGAGCTTGGGAAATGAGAGGTGGAAATAATAAAAATAATCCATCAATCACATCTCTTCAACCCTGTGGTTTTTGCAGCCTATCTAAGGGGGGAAAGGTGTAATTTTGCTGGCAGGCTGCTCTCTCCAGAGTGGGATGTTCCAGCTGGGATTGATGCTCCAGGAGAGGAAACCTGGAGTTTCCCCTCTCCGCCCTTGCTAAGCTGTTTTCTCCTTGGGGGATTTCGCTCCCCCTGCTGCTCCAAAGGCAGGATTAGGGATTTACATACAGGTGTGATACCAGCTGGAGCTGCAGGGGCCCAGCCCACACCTCCCAGTGCTCCCAGCACCACCAGTTCCTTCAGCACCACCAGTCCCTTGTGCACTGGGAGGTGATGGGGGGGAGGCACATGAAGCTGTAACCATTATTTCCTGCCAAGGGAAGCCTAAAAAGCTACATTTTCAAAGCACACTGAGACAAAGCAAGATAAAAACAGGACAGTGAAGACTCACAGTACTGTCCCATCCCTGGAAGTGTTCAAGGCCAGGCTGGACAGGGCTTGGAGCAACCCAGTCGAGTGGAATGTGTCCCTGCCCACGGCAGGGGAGTGGAACAAGATGGTCTAAGGTCCCTTCTAAACCATTCTAGAATTTTCCAACCGGCCCCAAGCTGGTTTGTCAGGGAGTTCACCTTGTTCAGGAACACTTTGGACCAGACTGACTGTTTCCTGGGAGAAATACAGAGTAGCTTCCTATGGGACCACAGTCACCCTGCTCATCTCAGACACAAAGAAACAGAATGGACTAGAAAAATATAAAAATTGACATTAGTCCCAGCTGGGGAAAAAGCACCAGCAGCAGCATTAAAGCAGCCATTTGATGGCCTGCCCACAGCCATCCACTCCTAAAGCATCCCTGGCCACCAGAAGTGCCGTGGGATGGAGAGACCTCAGCCCATTTTGCAGCCCTGAGACATCCTGAGCATCTGAAGTGCTGTTATAGCTCTCCACACACAGACATCACGTGCCCCTCCGGGCATTTAGATCATGGTAATGGGATATAAATATCTTATAGCTCTGAAAATGCTTTTTCACAAGGCTCCACAACAGACCTCAACTCTCCTTCTTCTCCCCAAGTCAGGCTCTTCTGCTTGGGTGGCCAATCTCAGCACCTAAAAAGCACTTTCTCTAAGTCCCTCTGTGAGAGCCACCCATGTCTGCTTAGCCAAAGAAAACGTAATATTTTGGATAATTTTAGTATTTACCTGGCTCTTGGAAGTGCTCTTCATTTGACAGGGTTCTGGATAAGATGAGGATAAGTGCTTCTTTAAACTGATCAAAGTGGACCTGTGGGGGGGAAAAAAAAAAAAGGAAGAAAAGAAGAAATCAACTGGTGCAGATGGTTAAATATGAGGGCAATAATCCAAGCAAGGAGACGGGCAGCAATGGATATCACTCAGACCACGCTGAAACACAAGTGCCTGTGTCTGCTGACAACAAAGGAATCTCGGCTCCTGCAGTCTTGGAGCCTGGGGAAGTGACAGCAAGGGACATGAAGACACAGCCAGAGTCTTTGGGCATCTGGAAAAACTTATTGCTATCACAGAATGACCCAGAGCCACTGTTTGCATGCTGTTGGTTGGGTTTTTCCAGCAAGCAAGAAGCCAAATTAACATGTCCAAAGGAGCAGGGAACATCTCCATCGCTTGAGGTGACCTGGCCAGGGTCAGGGATGATAAGGGAGGAGAGATTTGGTTGTGGAAATGCTCCAGTGCCCTAATTAAGCTTCGAAAACCACTGGATGGCAGAAAAACCACACCCTTTCCAGGGCAGTCCTGCCCCGGCTCCCGTAGTTCCATGAGAGCTGGACTGGGAATACCAGGTCTGGAGCGTGGCTGGGAAAACCACAGAAGGATGATCCTGCCACTGAGGCTTTTTTTTCCCCCCCTCCCTCTTCCATCTGTGCCTTCCTGGAAAGCCTCCTGCCTCACGGCCACAAACAGTCACAAAGGGGCTCCAGCTCCTTCACAGCCACGCCGGGGAATGTCAGCAATTCCAGCCGTGGGGGACGGAAACCCAGGGACAGCTGGAGAAGCTATTTGACATGGGTCAGTGGTGAGGCAGAGCTGGCTGCTGCGATTTCTTTTGGCTAAATAAATCTTAGGAGAATTTTTAGCGTTGAACAAGAGATTTTGTATTTTAAAGAACCCGCTGAGGCTGCTCTGGCTGAAGTCGATCGCTGTGAATCCAGAGCCACAGAGGGGATTTTAATGCTGCACAAGCAACAAAAGTTCATGTTTGAAGTTCTCCAGCTTGTTTTTGGGGTCAAGCAAGCCCAAAAAAAGGCCAGTAAGCTCCACTGCAGGAAGGGGACACAGGTGAGCCATGGGGGTGCAGGGGAGCACCTCACTCAGGCAATGCCAATCATCCCCATGGTTCTAAACATTTTTGAACACGTTTTTTAAACACAGTTAAAAATATGTTCAGCAAAGAAACTCGTCAGGGATGCCTTCATCTGAATGCTAATTGCTGCCATCCATTTCCAAACGCTGGTGTACTTCCAGAGGACAGTTTACAGAGAGAGGAGAATTCCCCCGATTAAAAAAAAGCAAACTTGACATTTAGACTAAATGAGGATGAATAAAAGATGAGGGTGTTCAAGTAACAGGTTCTCTCCCCCGGGATCTTCTCAGGAAGGGAATGGTGACAACAGAGCTGGTCCCTCAGATGGGTGCTGGGGCTGGCTGGGTTTGGATTAATAAAACAAAAAAATAAAATAAAACTCACCTTGCATCACTGGTGCGAACACACTGAATTAAACAGAGCAAAACCACCTGGGCAGGTGTGCTGCACCACCTGCTCTGCCCAACAAGCCCACAAGTGGTGTTTGCATTAATGAAGAGGAGGAAGGGTGAAGGGGCTGAGCCCTCACTCAGCTGCACAAGGGACAGATGGCCCCGGCACGGCCACCACAGAGCGATTTTACCATGACCACGACATCCAAAGGAGCCCCTGGAAGGATTAGGCTGCGGGGCAGGACGTGGCCATCCTCCAGCCCCCCATGCCAGCGCTGTGCTTGGCTGCACAGCAGGATTTAAAATGCAAATCAGCAGCAGAGGGACAGGAACAGGAGTTTCCCCCTTGTGCCTTCCCAGAGGCAGGACCCCACTCTGGAGGTGGAGTCCCAGCTGGCAGAGGGGGAGATTTTTCTTCAGGATGGGCCAGAGGTTTTTTTTAACAACAGATAACCAGGAAAGCCAGTCTCTGTGGTGCATGTCTGACCTTGAATGTTGCACGTTTGCACACAAAGAGTGCTCAGAGAGTTAGAGAAATACAGCTGATAAAATTAGGAGCTGGGCTCGAGTACAAGGCAGCCATGGAACAGCAAAGCCACCAAAGCTGCAGAAATCCTTGAGTGAGGGTGGGGAGGCCCTGGCACAGGCTGCCCAGAGAAGCTCTGGCTGCCCCATCCCTGCAAGTGTTCCAGGCCAGGCTGGACAGGGCTTGGTCTAGTGCAAGGTGCCCCTGCCCTTGCAGGGTGGAACTGGATGATCTTCAAGGTCCCTTCCAACCCACTACATTCTGGGATTCTATTTTGGAACTGCCAACTTGTGCATCTGCTCGTGGGGGTCTCCAACAGCAACTCGAGGCTGATCCAAACCAGTCCCAAACGCAGAAGAATTTGCGATGTGATGGCACAAGGTTTGTGCCCACCCAGAGACGTGGATCACAGGCCCCTGCAAACTCCCCCAGCAGAGCCCTGAGGGCACATCAACCCCCAGGGCGAGGAGAACTTTCCCAGGACAAGTAAATCAGAGGCACACAAGACTAAACACCAACGGAGGCACCGCCAGCCCAGCCCGGCCTCCCCACGGGAATCAGGGACCAACCAAGCTGCGGCTGCTGAGCAACCCCAGCTCCTCAGAGAAATCCCAAGCCTGCTTTGCAGCCACTTCCCTCTGAAGCCGTGACTTATTAGCACTAGAAAGAGCGTGTGCACGTGCCAAGGTACCTGCTGCTCCCCGCTGTCTGCCCCTGCAATGCAAAGCAGTTCGCACACCCGGTCTCTCCGGGGCAAACCGGCACCGGTGGCTCCTTCCAGCTCCCTTCTCCTTGATCTTCCAGCACGGTCCTATTCCCAAAGCTCTGCCCCCGTTTGCAAATTCCTGCTAGCAGAGGCAGCCAGAAGGTTGCAGAGGGAAGCGTCTAGTAGGGAAGACATAGAATCATGGAATGTCCTGAGCTGGAAGGTACCCACGAGGATCATCCAGTCCAACTCCTGGCCCTGCACAGGACACCCCAACAATCCCACCCTGTCCCTGAGAGTGTTGTCCAAGCACTCCTTGAGCTCTGGCAGCCTTGGGGCCGTGACCACTGCCCTGGGGAGCCTGGTCAGTGCCCAACCACCCTCTGGGGGAAGAACCTTTCCCTGATATCCAACCTAAACCTCTCCTGACACAGCTTCACCATTCCCTGCAAGTGTTCCCCACCATTCCCTCTGGTCCTAACAAGGCAATCTTGCAACAACATCATAATAGGGCAGTCTTGCAACCTTGCACCCAAGCCTCCTGCGTGGCCTGCAAGATTAAGGGGAGCACACAGCACATTAAGGGGAACAGCATCACTGCGGGCACAGAGGGAGGATATTTTGCAAGAGGTCACCACCCACAGCACTGAAGGGAGCTGATGAGTGAAACCCCACACTGTGGTGTCCTTGCTGCAGGCTGTTAATGCAATAGTGCAGCTGAAACCTGAGCTCCCCATCCCTGCTCCAGGATGGTGCCAAGGACAGTCCCTGTGCAGGGTTCGGAGGTTCCCGACTTCATAGAAACCCAGAATGGTTTGGGTGGGAAGGGACCTTAAAGCTCATCTCCTTCCCACGCCCTGCCATGGGCAGGGACACCTTCCACTAGACCAGGTTGCTCCAAACCCTGTCCAACCTGGCCTTGGACACTTCCAGGGATGAGACACGATTTCCACGGACTTACCCCCATCCCTGCACATCACCCAACCACAGGCCATGTGCGTTGTCCCCAAAACACCCTGAGTTTGCCGCTAATTAAAGGGCACAGAGAGGGCAGACAGACAGACACACCTGCACCCGTCTTCTCGCTCCCACCACCAAGTGTGAGGGGCCTGAGGAAACAGCCCTCCTGAGGAATCCCAGGAATTGCTGCGAGCATCACCTCCGCACGCAATCCCATGAGGAAAACAGTTCTGGGGTGGTTTGGCTCTGCCATGAGTCAGGGCAGGATTTACACCCCCCCCACCAGAGCCCATTAATCCCCAAAGCACTGCAGGTATCCAGCCCCTCGCCCGATGCCAGCTCAGCTCCTGGTCCAACCAAGCACTCCCTGCCCAAGGCAGAGGGTTGGAACAAGATGATCTTTAAAGTCCCTTCCAACCCAAACCATCCCATGATCCCGGAGCATTCATCCCTGGAGCAGAGCCCCCCACACAAAAGCAAGCACGTGGCCCCGCTGAGTTGCCCCTCAGCAGACAAAACCGTCCCCCCGCCGCCCCCCTCCCCGGTGCCCTCCCATAAATCCCGGCCCCTGGAAGTGCAGGAGAACAAAGGCTGGGACCATCTGCGGCGAGGAGCTGGCGGGGCAGGTGCAAGAAGTCTGTGCTCGGGGAGCAACATGTTCTCTGCTATTCTCCCGATGTGATTCCTAGGAAACCCCAAGGATCCGAGGGCTATTAAATCCGGCTCGCGCTCAGACACGGGCCATTGCTGCTGCTAACGAGCACCAGCACCAGGGAGACGGGAGGGAGGAAACGCAGGGGACACAGATTATCCTGACACAGATTATCCTGACGTTCAAGTGGCAGGTTGTAAGGGAGAACCATTCCCAGCGACAAAAAGGAATGAAACGAAACGGGATGCCTCGTGCCCTGGGACGGCTCACAGGGATGGAGCTCCCGGTTGGGACAGGGTGAGTGTGACCTGGCACTAGGGATGCTTTAAGAGGGGCTTTTTGGTGCCCTGTGACAGCCACATCTTTAGTAGTGCCCTTCCTGTCCCTCTATCCCACAGGTGGCAAAGCCAGATGACAGGACAAGGGGAAATTGCTTTAAGCTGAAGGAAGGCAGACTTAGATTAGATGTTAGGAAGGAATTTTTCCCTGTGAGGGTGGTGAGGCCCTGGCACAGGTTGCCCAGAGAAGCTGTGGCTGCCCCTGGATCCCTGGGTTGGACCCCAAGGGCAGGTTGGACGGGGCTTGGAGCAACCTGGGCTAGTGGAAGGTGTCCCTGCCCATGGCAGGGGGCTGGAACTGGATGATCTTTAAGGTCCCTTCCAACCCAAACCACTCCCTGAATCTATAACAGCATCTGAGCAGCATAAGCTCAAGACAACAGAGCATAACAAAGCCTCTGGTGCTCCAGGAAATACCACACCGCAGCTCCAAAGCTCAGAAAGCTCCACCTGGATTCATCCCTGTTCCAGGCTCCAGCACCACTCTATGCTATGGCCCCAGGGCAGGCAGGGAAGAGGCGGCTTTGTTTGTTAAAGGAACTTTGTTCCTGAAAGCTGCAGTTTGATCGGAAATTGGAGTCAGAATAGCCACCTAGCTCCTTGTCTATCGAGAGCCCTGGCTGCCCTGCTCCACATTTTCTGATTTTAACGAGCAGTGATGGGATTTCAGGGTGATTTTAAGGGAAGGATCCAATGCACTCTGAGCACAGTGTGTCGGGAAAGATGTAAGGCAGAAGGCACAAGGACATGTGGAGATCTCCCCAAGGGCAAGCAGCTCCTGCTCAGTGCCCTGGCATTTAACTCCCTAAAGGTAAAACCACAACCAAAAAATGGCTTTGGAAAGCCACCAACGCCAGGTAAATGGACAAAGGTGACCAAGCCAGTGACTGCCTGAGTTGGACAATATTCTCTACCTTGGAGAGACGTGCACAACTGCACACAGCCCTGCCAGCCTAACTACAGCTTAAGCCAACGTAAATCACAGGCTCAAGCCCTGGATTTAGGTCCCTGTCTCATCCCAAGGGCTGCAGAGTTTGTGCAAGCACCTGGTGAGCTGGATCAGGGAGCTGACCCAGGCCAGCAGCAGCACAAACCAGTGCCAGGGGCACGGGCACTGTGTGAGCAGAGCAGCCAGGACCCAGCACTTGGTCTGGCCTTGGACGCTGGGAAAACACACCAGTGCACAAGGCCAAGCCTAAAGTGATGGCTTTTGAGTTTCAAACCACCTCCAGCCAGGGCAGAGCAGTTCCCTTCCCCGTTATCACCAACTCCCCTCTCAGAAGTCACCCTGTGCCCACCCTGCTGAACAGACCACCAGACCCCACAAGTCCTGCAGCCCCAGAACCCAGAGATGTTGAATATTCAAATTACAGACATTCAATCACCTTCCAAGACAACTCCACACACAGCTGTGTCTGGCTCCCCAGCCCCGCCATGTCCCCAGCCTTACCCTGCCTAGGAGGTTTCCTTGGAGGAGGGTCTGCTGCAGTGCTGGGGCCACCTCCTCCAGGTGCAGCATGTGGCAGAGGTCAGTGAGCTCCTCCTGCCCCAGGGACCCCGTGCCCGTGCTGTCAAAGCTGTCGAAGAGCTCCTTGAGCCGAGCTTCATACTGGTCCTGCTCAGCTTCATCCATCCCATAGCCTGCCACGCTCACCTGTGGGAAGAGATGGGGCAGGTGAACGTTGACCACGGTGCCCATGGCATGGAATGGTGAAGAACCCCAAGGGCTGGTGCAGGAGCTGCCCACGAGGCTGTTGGTGGCCGCGTGTTCGTGTTGAGCGAACCCGGTGCTCCACCACTGCTCCGGCCTCTCCCACCCCACTGGGGGAAGGCAGAAGTCACACAGCAGAAAGACTAAAGGGAAAAAGCCTGCGGAGCCAAACCCTCCAGCAGGGACAGCCCAGGTGGCTGGGACAGCCCCATGTGGCACGTCCCTAAGTGCCACCTCACGCCGACTCCGCGAGCAGCTCATTTGGCTCAGCTGGAGCAGCTGAGGTGCTGCAGGGGAAAATTGTTCCCTTGAGCTCCACTGATCCCCAGGTGTTGCAGGTGATGCTTTGGTGAGAAGATAAACAACCATCCCAGCAGCAACAGCTCAGCAGCTGCAGGGAACAGAGGGTGGGGCTCTGCCTGAAGAAGGGAGGGCAGGAGACCCCAACCCAAACCCTTCAGGCCAGGCAGACACTGTGTTCATCCCCCCCTCCACCAACACAACACACACCCCTGTGCCAAAGACAGTCATGGAATCATCTAGATTGGAAAAGATCTCCAAGATCCAGTCCAATCATTCCCCTGGCACTGCTAAGCACTCACTGCACTGCTCTCCTCCACTGCCAGGTCAAACCCTGGCTGAAGGCAGAGAAAACACTGCTAAAGTGGCAGCAAACCCAGCCCTGGAGCAGAGTAGACCCCGGCATGGAAACAGCCAAAATGTATCTGGTATCCTGCCCTGGGCACACAAAGCCCAGGTGGTTCTCCCCCAGCTTGCCTCAGGGCCCTTCCAAGGCAATTTTTCATTCCTCTCATCCATTGCTAACAGAGGATCACAGCCCCAGGAACTGTTCTGGCAGGGGAGCAGAGGGAAATTCCCTGTCTGAAACGAAGCATTTGGCTGGATCCATTTACCAGCCTGGCCTGGGGCTCCCTGCCGGCTTGGGGTGGCAGCAGTGTCACCCAGTGCCACAACACAGCCTTGGTGTGGATGTGCCACCACCACCATCATCACCAGAGTGCACTGAGTGACAGTGGGCATTGTAGGGACCTGGTATCCCAAAGACACAACTGGGAATCCCGGGATGCTCGGCCAGCCTCAGCCACGAGAATTTTATTTTGGTGACGCTGTTGCAGGTTGTCTCAGCCACATTCTCCAAAACAGGGGTTCTATCCAAACCCCCTCACCATCCAGCCCTGCTATGGAGAAGCCCCCTCTCACCCTGGCAGGGTTGTTGTGGCTGCCCGTGTCACCAGCAGCGCTCACAGACATCCCAGAACAAGCAAAGCTGCTCCAACTGCAGCCCAATTTCACCCCCCTGCCCACCAGCACAGCCCAACCACTGGGAAATCTCCAGGGCAGGCACTGCAGCAGCCGTGTCCTTGATTCCACTGGCTGCAGGAGCAGATGCCAAGGCAGAGCATCCTCGGGATCCCACATCTGTTGAGGGATGCAGGGTCCATGGGACAGGAACAGCCCAGCCTGGCTGCCCTTCCTCCTGCACCCACACGGACAAGGACGACCGTGGACACTCCCCATCCCTATATCCCTGCACCTCAGGCTCACACCCTACAATCGCCTGTTTTCCCCCCCTTCAGATCCCTCCTGAGTTGATTTATCACAGCACCCAAGCGCTGCAGGGAGGAGGGAGGGTGCAGACACATTGCACTCAGGGCACAGAGGAGGAGGCAGCACCCAAAAACTCAGGCACCTGCAAGCAGGAGGAAGGCAACAAACTAGTTTCCACTCTCACTCTGGTATCCTCATTTCCCACCTGCACCCACGGGGCTCCACAGTGGCTGCTGCTGATGCTGGTGTGTCAGGGAGCCCTGCCTGCACATTCCAGCAGCCCCAAAACTCACAGCCAAGCCTGCAGCGAAGGTGACTCCAACCCACGGAGCTTCCCAGGCATTTCTGAGCCTCTTATCTTCAGGGTCAGCCACCTTCTGCCCCCCGGAGATGTCTCCAGCACCCGACCCTACTCCTCCACTGCCAGAACCAGTTCCCCCAGTCAGACAGCACAGAGAGCTAAATGCCATCTCCCATCATGTCCCTGAGAATCCATGCTGCTGGAGCACTGGGCTCACCCCTCTTGGTGCCACACCGGCAAAAAGCCCCAAAACCTTAGCCTGGGCAAGTCCGGATGGGCTCCAGGTGCAGGAGGCATTAGGGAGCCCATAAAACCAGCAAGAAAAATACAATTCCCAAAGGAAAAGAAAAGGTGGGTGCCTGGTCCCTGCCAGGGGCCAGACCTGCCCTACAGCCCAGGTGAGATTTTGGCACACTGGCCCCTGGCAGCCTCACACGTCCCCACGGCGAGGGACGGTCGGAGCTCACAGGGGACCCAACCACCCTTGCACAGCCCGGGAAAGGGATTTCCTGCTTTCCAGCACAAAAAGCGTCGGGAATCAACAGCGAAGGACAGGGCTCTTTGCCTACCTGCAGTCAGTCAGTGCCAGGAGGCTGCCAGCAGCCGGGCGATCCCGCACGCATCCTGCACAACCTCCATCTTAGGAAGCCGGCTCCGGCACGCAGCCGGCTGCGCAAGGTGACCCAAGATGCCTACTCCCGGCTGAATTATTCAGCAGTGCTTCGAGGGGGGGGGGGGGTGTGCGTAAAAAACACCCCAACCACCCAGCCCTCCTACCTGATGAGCCGGCGAGGCTCGCCTGGCATCGCCCAGCAGTCACAATAATGAGGTCAGCGGCATCAGAGCCCCGGCGAGCGCGGCCACCTTCGGCACCCGCACGCCGGGGGACTGGCAGCAGAGAAAGGGCTGGGAGGGGAGGGGGGGGACACGCACAAGAGGCACACAAAGCCCGAATTAAAGCCCGGCCTTTCATCTCTGCTCCAGATGGGCCAGCAGCTGAGATGCAGGAGGGCGGCCGGAGCGGGCGGGATAATGGGGGCAGGCGGGCAGCAGCTGAGCGGGGGCTCCCCGGTCCCCTGCGAGGAGGAGAGGGGTCCCCGCGCGGGGCATCACTTTGTTCAGATTTATTGCTGGCCTTCTGTGTCGTTTCAAGTCCCCCAGAATGACCGGCTTGAGCAGGCAGCGCTGAAAGGTGCAGGTTTAGGAGAGTCACGGCCACATTATTCCTTATTTCTGTTCTCCCTACAACAAGTCCGGGGAAGCAAAGCGCTCGGGGATGATGAGAAGAGGAAGTTTTCACCGGCATTTCTTTCCTTCCCCTAAATCCCCCCCCCTCCTGAGAGCCAGATAACCTTCACAGCACACAATGTAGAGGCCTGATAGGACTAAATTCCCAGCTAAATTTAACTCAAACAATATAGGCTTAAACAGTAATTACTGCATCGCATATTAAGTGCCTGGAATCAATACCAACCCCCAAGCTTTAGCCTGGAGCTAATGAAGACACAAATTACCTGGTCAATCAATGGCATCAGTGAGTAAAAACACTACAATTAGCACAATTACCTTTTTAGGGGTGAAAACCAATAGGAATCACAGAATCCCAGAACAGTTTGGGTTGGAAGGGACCCTGAAGACCATCTCATTCCAACCCCCCTGCCACGGGCAGGGACACCTTTCACCAGATTGGTGCAAAACCACGTTTCCTGCTGTACAACGGCACAAGATGGAGATTTTGGGGATGATTTGCCCAGACGTCCCCATGGGCTGCAACACCAATTAGGGCTATGGGCACCCTGCCCTCACCCCAACCAGCCCTCTGTGGAAGGGCAGTGGCCTCAATCAAGTCATTGCTTTCAAGGGACAGCAAGGAGAACGCTGATTTTGCTGCTACTTTTGATCCCCCTGGACTCAAACAGGGCTTGTAATTAGCAGTAACTACCCAGTAGCATCCTGTGGCCACCTCCAAAACACAAGCACCTGCTCCCTGGGATGTCACAGCTCTGTAGTGTCCACCCTGTGCTGGAGAGCACGGCCATGTGTGGGCAGTTTAAAGCAACTTTCCCTTCCTGCTGCGCTTGTGACAACGGGGACAGTGTGAACACGGCTGGCAAAAGCCACCAGGACCCCAGTTTGTAATGGTAGGGTTTACACAGGATGCCCAGCATCCACCAAAACCAAACCCTTGAGCCCTTGCTGGAAAACCAGAGCTGAGATTACCTCAAACTCATTATTTCCTCCCCCTAATGAACCATTTCATCCATCGCAGCTGCAGCGAAGCAGCTCTGATGAATCACAGAATGACCCAAGTTGGAAGGGACCCACAAGGATCATCCAAGTCCAACTCTTGGTCCTGCACAGACACCCCAACAATACCACCCTGTCCCTGAGAGCGTTGTCCAAACCCTCCTGGAGCTCTGGCAGCCTTGGGGCTGTGCCCACTGCCCTGGGGAGCCTGGTCAGTGCCCAACCACCCTCTGGGGGAAGAACCTTTCCCTGAGATCCAACCTAAACCTCTCCTGACGCAGCTCCAGCTGTTCCCTCGGGACTCGAGAGAAGAGCTCGGCGCCCTGTCAGTGCACAGACCACCAAGCCCCCCCACCATGTTGGGGCAATTTCCCAGCTCAGCCCACCCTGCAACACCCTGTCCCTTCTTGGGAGCAGCAGCTCCACAAAGGGTCACACCGAGAAACCAAAGGGAAAGGGAAAAACAAAACCCAAAAGGACAATGAAGCACCTAAATATCAGTAAATCACTTGACAGCACGCCCGGCTCTTCAAGGGTCACCACCAGAGTCAGCCTTACAGCTGGCGGTTCCACCCCCCAATTGACCACGCTCATAATTCTCGCTTTGCACCTCAATGCCACCTCTCCCCGTGCACCCCAAAACACCCCCAAACCCTCCGAAGTTGGCAGAGAGCAGGGATTCTGTTAACCAAGCTCCACTCCAGATTAGCAAAGCAGCGATGGCGTATAAAAGCACCATAAATTTATGTAAAGAGCTTCAAAAGCAGCGCAGCGGTTTGAATATTCACGCCAGCCCGGTATTTGC